ATAGCCACATAAAGCTAAAACTTCGCTTACAGAACAAAGTACTAGATTAAAAGCCACAAGATTAAATATATTATCAAAGTCTTTCTATGGATGGCAGAACCTGCCTTTCTTTCATCCCAGAAAGCTGACAATGAAGTTCACAGCATGCAGGTAAAAAGCGGGGGACCCTCTCTGGAGACCCTGCAAGGTCCCAAAGAGATCATCTGTTGACTGACATTTTGCAGTAGTCAGGAATACCCACCCACAACTGAGGCTCTCCTAAGTGGCTGTTCAGTGCCTTGCTGATAAATGAGACTGCACAGCCAAAGGTCAGCAGGCATTTAAGTGAAGTCTCAACAAGGAAAGAACTCTGGGAACAGAGAGATCAAACTGATCTTCAAATAAGTCCTAATTAATAACCCTACAGTTCTAAAAGGCATACACAACCATAAAATGAGAAAAATCTGACAAAAGGACATAATCAAAATATAAGGACAAGCTCTTGAAAATTAAAATACAGTCAAATAAAGTTCCAAATAAGAGTTAAAAGATTCAAAATAGTCAAATAATAGGGAGGTGCTCAATGAGAAAAGTGACTTTAACCTATTAATAAATATTCTAGAAAGACACAGTATCAAAGACACAACTCAGAATTTACTCCTAACTAAAAATACTATAAGGTTCAATCCAACAAATGAGAAAAGATCCACACAGGCAGATCATTGAAAATATAAATGAGGAAAGAAAAGATTCTTAAAGCCTTCAGCATTTAAATGACACGACACTGGACTTCTTCAAAAGCATCTACGGAATAGTGGCGTGAGATTCTTACAATTTTGATAAAATTATTCCTTCTATATCCAATATATTAATAAGAAGAATCACATTACACGAACTGTAGAAGCCATACTCTACCAGACAATCACACAGAGGAATCGATGCAATGTGAGAAGCAGAAGACGCCTGGTGTCATGTAGTCAGTGCAGAGGAAACCCTGAACTACCTGATACACTCGTGGTAAGACAAATACTGAGAAGCTCTGAGAGACATATATATATATACAGGTATATATGTACACAGGTGTACAATAGGTATACAGAGAAGAAAAAGAAATGATAAAGTCTACAAATAAATAATCATAAACAATATTTGGCACAGCAGTGAACAATACTTTTATGGATATTATAACTCAAATACAGAATTCTAAGAAAAATTCTAACAAAAATTCTGATTAGAAAAGACAAGGGAAAGGCATGAGTGTGGAATTCTTAGTAGATCATCACTAACAATCATGATAAAGTTTAAATTAAGAACTCAATAAGTAAAATGCTATGCAGAAATTATATTTAACATCTAAGTAAAAAAAAAGACACGACCTGACATCTGTTTGGGGTTGCTAAAATAGAGCTGTTTTTCTTGTAATATAACTTAGGGGTTTTTTTTTTTCTTTTTTTTTTTTATTGGATGTTTTATTTACATTTCATGTTATTCCCTTACCCCACTCCACCCCACCCCAAACTTAGAGTTTTAAAACACTAAAAAGATACAGAAATTTTTTTAAAAAATCAATTACTCTTAGATAGTTTTACCACGTTTAGATAATTTTCAAGAACTGCATACCTCCTGTAAGTTTTGGTCTTCTTGAGTCCAAGAATTTAAAACATGTGCTCCTGAGTCACTCACAATGAAATTCACCTAATAGATGTCAAAGAAAAAATTAGTATCCCACTCTGCTTTCACTCAGTCACCGTCACACTGTAAATCTCACACAATTCCTAGCACTGGCAATCACCTGACTCATCTATTCTGTCAGCATAAATGCCTAGGACATGCAGCTGTTATTCCAGCACTGAATATATGGAAACGCAGTGATAGATAAAACAGTTTTGTCACAAAGTGGACAGTGTCTGGGGTAAAAAAATGTGGTAAAGCAACGTATGAAAAAAACAAGCAAATAAATGAGCAGGGTAATTTCAGGGGATGACAAATGCAATGAAAAGTAACTCGGTTAACGCTTTAAGACCAGGTGTTGACACACAGGCTCTCTACAGACTGAGCAACTCCAGGGGGCTACAAACTGACTAGTGAACCAGCCACAGAACAAGCCAGGGATAGATAACTCCAAGTACAACAAACAGCAGATACAAAGGTCTTTAAATTTAAATACACTCCCCAAAAGGCAAAATCCAAAACAAGTAGAGGGTTTATAGGTAACCCTGAAGAACCAGGGTTTCTGAGCACTGACAGCCAAATTACAGACATGAACTACATTCTTTCTTCCCCTCAGTAAAATACAAAGTGAAAAAAAAGCTGGGCGGTGGTGGTGCACGCCTTTAATCCCAGCACTTGGGAGGCAGAGGCAGGTGGATTTCTGAGTTCGAGGCCAGCCTGGTCTACAGAGTGAGTTCCAGGACAGCCAGGGCTACACAGAGAAACCCTGTCTCGAAAAAAAAAACAAAAAAAAACAAAAAACAAAAAACAAAAAAAAAAAGTGAAAAAAAAACTACAAGGAATGAAAACACAGCTCAGTGTATAGTGTCTGCCTAGCACACAGCACAGTGTTAGGTTCAACTCTAGCACCACAACAAAACAAAGCCTGTCAGGTAAGATGGTAAGAACCTCGGCCAAGCAAATACTCTCATCAGCTCAGTTCCAGCCTCGGCTTCTGCAACTCAAATGGAACACATGCCATCTATCTGCAAGTAATCCTGAAACATCTAAGATACTGAAACCTAAAGGTAACTTTAGTATTTAGAATTTCTATCAAATGTCAATATCTCTTCTTACTGATGAAAACAAAAGAAAACAGAAACAAAACACCATCACAAGGAACAACAACAACAACAACAAAAACTTAGCTTTTTGGAGCTGGGAAGGTGGCTCACAACTTTAATCCCAGCAACTGAGAGAAAGAAGGTGGATTTCTTTGCGTTCAAGCCTTATCTACACAGTGAGATCCAGGACAGACAGGACTACAAAATAATAACCTCTCAACATTCCCGCCAGTTGTTCTCGAACTTCAGTTGCCTGTTCCATGCTTATAACATACTTTCTACATGGCCTACCATGTATAGCACTTACTTCAGTGGACTGTTAGAGAAGCCAGTAAGTACAGGGCACTTTGGAACAGGCCTGGAACTTGTAAGTGCTCGGCACCATCATTACTGCTGGCTGTAACTAAATACCAAGACTACACTAATCATAAAGGGCAGTTCTGCATACATTTTAACTGTACAGTTATAAGTCTACAGTAAATTCACACAGTAACTATATACACAGTTAAGTACATCATCCCATCATAATTTTGTTCATAACACTCACCAGCTTTTTGAAAGGAAATATGTCATACATTATTCTACAATATTCCATGGAAGATTCTACTGAGCAAGTCCACAAGGATTTGGAGATGGGAGCCAAAGGGATGATGCCTTGGGTCCTATTCTTCACCAGCATGTCAAATTCCACATGCTGTCTACAGGATTCTGCCATGTATGGGCAGTGATCCACAACAAACACTGTTTTATGAGATTCAGAAAAAATCTTCATTTTGCTTTAACCTGTGAAAGGATAAACATAGTAGTCAAAATGTTGACACATTAACATTTATCTTAAGTGATTTCTCACTTAGGTGTGTTTTCCTCAAGATTTGATAGGGATCCAAAGTTCAGGGAACTTTGTGCAAAAAAGGGCAAGGTAATGGCGGTAGTTCAGGGATAGGCTACACCATACCAGGCAGTCAATTTACCAAATGGAGTTAGTTCACACTTCTTTTTTTCTTTTACAAAGCACTTTTAAAATAGAAGAAAACATCTGTACACATTGTATTTAATTCCTATGTCTACAAACCACAGATCCGCTCTTCAAATGTATTTATGCTGACCCTTGTTAGGAGATGAGGGAAATCCACAGGAAAAGACTGACAGCAAGAGTACAACCCAAAACACACACACATCTCCTAAGGTAACTTCACACTGCGTCTTCCTACGGCCCAAACTCTCATCCTCTCCCTCAACTTGCAATACACTACAGTAATTCACCATGTAGACCAGAACAAACAGATGCCATCCCATGCTGGTGAGGAGGAAATACTTTCATTAAACTTTTTCTTATAAACACAGAACATGTGGTGCACTGCCCTGCTTCGCTCCTAAAATTGTAACAGACCAAAAAAAATGTTTTTTTGTTTTAAATCTACATTCTAAGAGCACATGGGAAACAGAACAAGCGTTCACGGTAAGGATGCATCTTACGGTCCCGCTATTAGCTCCTGCTGCTCTGGAACGCACCGCCCCTCCCCGCCGAAGTCCGGATCTGCAGCCTTCGGCACACACCTGGCTGCAAGGTGGGGGGGCGGGGGGGGGACGAGCAAGGTGAGCGGACAGGGGAACCCTCGGCATCGAGGTTCGCTTACTTTCGTGCGTGGTCCTGCAGTGAACGAACGGAGGCTGACGGAGAGAAGGCAGATGAGGGTAAGTGGGGAGTCGGCGCACAGTCGGTCTGGTCCCACTCGCAGAAGACTTGACTACCCGGCTCATCTCCCAACGCTCCGGCTTCTTAAGCGCAGGAGCGCGCGCATGCGCGTGCCCGCACAAGAGCGCCCTCGGGCTCGCGCGTGCGCACGGCGTCCTCGCACAGCCCCGCCATCTTCCCTTCCCCTTAGAGGCTATCGGAGGCCGAACCGGAAGAGGGCGGAGCGAGTGAGAAAAAAAAAAGCCTTTAGCGATTGTTCCTAATCCACCGTTAGGAAGAATGGTCAGAACGACCTGAGAGAACCCCCAAAGTACTAGCCGCTGCCGGGACAAACCGGCCTCGGCTCTGCACAGGGAGAGCCCACCCACTGAACCTCCCCTCTCCGCCTTCAGTCCAGGCCGGTAGCCCCTCGGAAAACACGCGAGAGCGTACGAACGAGCGGCAGGGCGAAACCCTGAGAGCAGGCGAAGAGAGAGGCCACGCCCCCTCCTTGTTCACCAATCAACGACCAGCCGCTTGCCGGGGGCGGGGCCTTCGGTAACCCGCGGAGGGAAGTCTCGCGAGGCTTGTCGCTCCGCGGCTGCCGATAGCGGAGGTTCTGGTCTGTCCGGGATGGGGCCGAGGCGAGCGGGCTGCTGGTCCGTCCCGCCTCTGTGTGAGCAGGGCTGTGCGTCCGCTCGCTGAGCTGGCACAGCGAGGGCGCGGAGACCACTCCCCGAGCGCCTCCATCTCGCGGGTGGTCGTCGCCGGCTCTGACGGCTGAGGGGGACTGAAGCTGAGTGGAATAACACGCGTGGGCGAGCCTCTGAGCCGGACTCCCTCTTCTCCGTGCTCTCCCTGAGCTCCTGCCGGGAACTGAGGTACAGAAAGTTCCGTGAAAACCCCGGGCCTGCACGCCGTGGGACACCCCTTCCGGGTTTCCCTTCTTGCCACTCGGGAGCTCCGTGGGCGGTGGCTGGAGGGACTTGTCACTGTTGAGTTTACCTCAGCACGCTTGACCGCGTTTGCGACTGGGGCTTAGCCGCGGTCCTGAGGGAGCTGCTGGGATCGTTCGAATCCCGCAGCGCCCTTCCAAATGCTGTCCCAAGTTGGAAAACTGGTTTTCTCCAGACGGATGTTTCAGAAGCTCCCAAGTGTGTGCATTCCACCATTTTCAAGACAGTGCAGTTCTCTGCTTCCAGAGCGATGTGTGTGTGTGTGGTCTGCGGACATTCTTTATTCCATTTTAAGGTTTTCTTTGAAAGACATATATGCTTCTGTATTGCTGCCATCATCAGTGTCTGCTCCTCAAGAGTGAGGACCCTTTCTTTCCTCTTCCCGTCCCTGATCGCTGTACCGTCCTCCTTTCCAGAACACGGACTTCAGAATTGTCTGAGGGTCTGTGTTCCACCCACACTGCACCAGGTTTTTGCTTCTTTCACTGTGACTATCACAGTTGCCCTTCCTCCACCCCAAACCGGTGTCCCCGCCTAGCCCTTCATACTTCCTGTGACATGCATTCTCTCTCCTGAAACTTTTTCAAGTTCTAATTTAAGCCTATCGATTCGTCAGGGCTTTTTACCCTCCTGCCTCAAAATCATATTTTACCTTTTCAGTATCATCTTGTTGCCGCCCCTAATTCTTTACCATGCATCTATGCCAGGCTGTTGGGTGTATCCCCAACTGTGCCTCATATTTCCACCGCTGTGCCCTGTGAACCCATACAAGTCTGTTTTTCCTTCTGTCTCATCGTCTTTCAAAACCCAATTCAAAGATGATTCTTTTTAGACTCCCTCGGGTAACATTGTTAATACAGTGAACTCCCAGATTTCTTGACATAGTTCTGCAGTATTTATTAATATGTATTATTTGTTCCTGTCTCTCCTGCCAGCTTGAACTTGAGTCTGGAATCATGTCTTATTCGTGTTTAAAACAAATGCTAGCTCAGTGTTGGCACATAGCAGGCATTTATATATGTGTATATGTGTATATATATAATATATGTATATATAATGCATGTCTATATCATGTATATATAAATATATAAAAATATGTGTATCTATACATATGTATTATATATGTATATATATGTATATAGGGTGAGAAGGAGGGAAGGAGAGGGGGTTGGGGGGAGAGAAATCATTCTAAAGAATTTACTATAAATATTCTGTCTCTTAAAAATTACATTAGAACCTAAAATAACTTTTTTATTTTAGGGTAAAAGCCCTTACCTGCTTTGAACATGAGCAGCCGTGTACTCCTAATACTCGTGTAATTGTACTTTTGATTTTAGTGGATGGAGACGGTATATAATATCAAATGGACATGCATGCACACACCCTATGCATTCAAATGATTTTATGTTAGCATCATGTTTGACAACCAGGATTTATGTGATGCAAATGTTTTTGATAGTGCTCAACATAAAAAAATATTCTTCTGACTCTTGGCCATATGTTAGAAATAATTCCTTTGGGTTAGGTTAGTTCTTTTTGGATAATTTGAACACACACACAGCATAGCCACAATTTTAGGGAGTGTATAAATTGGTCTTGATTCAAATTTTGTTCCTTTCAACTTTAAGAATTGATTTTCTTCTGAAAGCTCCAAGTATATTAATTTTCAAGAAGAATAGGAATTTACTGTACTTTCACAAGATACCCATTTTTATGTGTTCTTTATATACATTCTTTTTGTTTACTTATGGGTTGTTGGAGTCTCTGCATAGTCCTGGCTGTCCTAGAACTCACTAGATAGACCAGGCTGACCTTAAGTTCACAGATAATCACCTGGCTCTGCCTCCTTAGTGCTGGGATTAAAATTATTATCTGCATATTATCTTAAAGTATTATCTGTGTATTTACTAACACTAGAGGTACCCACCTGAGCAGTAACAATTTAAAATTTTGACATTTAAAAACACATCGTTCATATCACACCATGTTTTTGTATCTCCAGAAATTGGATAATTAGTAGATTTGTTTATAAAAGAAACGAGTTACTTGAATTTCTTTAGATTTTTTTCTTAAATGAAAGCTAAAAAGTAACCAGCTGGCATGGGAGTTGCTGCTGTGGGTAGGTGGTGATTTCTCTTTAATGAGCAGCAGAATGTTCTGGACCATCTGCAAGAGTCTAACTGCAGATGTCTTAGTGGTAGAGTGGGTGAAAATGTGGCTAAAGCAGGAAGCAAAAGAAGAAAGAAAACTTGTTTCTTAAAGTGGTACCTCTGTAGTTTAAGCCTACCTGTTTAAAATAATTTAAATGTATTATGACTAGTTAAAAAGCACTGAAAAAATAGGCAAATAAATCGAAATATTCGTTTTAAAACTGGAGTGGATTTTTTAATGTGTAACAGGATGTAGAAAACAGTATCTCTCCCCACTTTATTTACTAACATAAGGGGAAACAAGCATCTTTCAAAAAGGATAGCAAAGCAGATTCATATTATAAAATATTTTAAGCTTTTCTGAGGTTTACAAACAGGAAATGAGTATACAGATTTTCAGAAGCTGTGTCACTGTTTTTCTGAAATGTTAATTAGGTGTTGAGTTTTCTGTTTATAATTCCTTCTGTGTAGATGAGTTTTTATACTTCTAAAATATAAAATGTAGTTCATTTTGTTAGTTTTTGTGCAGCCTAAAGAACATTTTTTGAGAGCCCACCATAATTCATTGCTAATTAAAACTAGTTAATTTTTATGTATACTTAAAACAATTGCTAGATTTTTATAGTTATATGAAAATTATTTAAAATCTGTTGCTTAAAATTGTTTATATACATTTCCATATGACTCAATTTTTTTTTTTTTTTTTTTTTGGTTTTTCCGAGACAGGGTTTCTCTGTATAGCCCTGGCTGTCCTGGAACTCACTCTGTAGACCAGGCTGGCCTCGAACTCAGAAATCCGCCTGCCACTGCCTCCCAAGTGCAGGGATTAAAGGCGTGCGCCACCACCGCCCGGCACTCAAAAATTTTTTAAAAATTAAGTCTTTTAGAAGTTTCACTTTGTAGAATCAGGGAATTTGTTCTTTCTGTCTCAAGAGGTTGAGACAGTTTTTACATAGGAAGAAGCAAATGGGTCCTTGGATCCAGGTCGGCTGAAGAGTTCCAGTCCTTGCACTAGCCGGGTTGTCATTCATCTACTTTATTTGGAATTTTTGAGTCTATTTTTTTCAATGGAAAAAAAGGAGTTAACACTTGTTCTTTGTCTAAATGTTATTCTTCGGGTCCAGAGAGCTACCATTTTAAATTAACTAAAGTTACTGTGCCTGCACTTTCCACCAACTCTGACAACCTGAGTCTGATCCCCAAACCCACATGGTGGGTAGAGAGAGACTATTCCAAGTTGTCCTCCACACATGTGTCATGGCAACCCACCCAGAATAGAAAAGTAAATATATTCAGTAATACATAGCAGTTTGAATATGGTTGTGCTGGATATCATGAGTGTTGGAGTTAAGTTTCTTTAATGATAGTAAACATCTTTTCATGTGCCATTCGTGTATCTTTTAGGATGAGTATTAAAGTCTTCTGGCCACTTTTAAAATTAGACTTATTCTTGCTCCTCTGTCTAAACAAGAACTTCATCAGATGTGGATCAGGAATGGCTCCTCACAGCGAGCGGGTCTTCTCCCACTATCTTAACTGTCTGACAGTCTGTTATTATCTTGATGAAACCTTGCTTATCAGTGGTTTTTACAGTTCGTGTTTCATGCTTTTAGTATCATGCCTAGAAAAGATCTTTCCCATCTCCAGATTATAGAGTTTTCTTTACCATCTCCAGACTATAGAGATTTTTTTTTACCATCTCCAGACTATATTTTCTTTACTTTTTTTTCCTTAAAGCATTACCATTTTTCATTTTATACTCAAGTTTGTGTTCCATTTTAAGAAAAGCTTTAAACCATAGAGTAACCAAATTAGAATTGTATGAAGATTAGTTTCCAACATATACATGTCTAGTTCTTCCATTGCCACTTATTGAAAAGATGCTAGCCTTTCTCAAAAAAAAAAAAAAAGTGTGTGTATGGCTGTGTGTACATGTAGCCTTGAAAACCAGAAGAGGGCTTTCTTTTGCAGCTAGAGTTGGTAACCTCTGTGGTTTCCCTGTTAAGGGAACACTGGTCCTCAGAGTTGAGCACAGCAATGTTAACCACTGAGCCATTGGTCTACTCCTGATACCCTTTGATTTGCCTTTTCACCTTTTTTTTTTTTTTTTTTTTGTCTTGGCCTTGAACTCACTATGTGGTAGTTCATGCTAACCCCAACCTTGAAGTGGTCCTCCTGCCTTAGCTTTCTCAGTGCTTGAATTACAGGAGTGTGAGCACCACGCTCCTTTTGCACATTTTCAGAAATAAATTGGTCAGTTTTCTGTGGCCTGTGATTCTAGTTTCCTTGCTTTCTGTAATAATTGTAAAATCAGCTTGTTAGTTTCTAGCTGCATTAGACTGATAACTGAAAATCTGTTCTTTTTTTTTTAATCCTTAAGCACTGTTGGCATATTTTTTAGCTATTTTAGTGGGTTCTTATACCTCTACGTCCCTTCTAACCTTATTTCACTTTAATCCCTTCCAACCCCCAACACTAGGTAGGAGAGAATGAAGGTTAAAGGGGGCATAGACCTCTTTAGACTACTTCCTGTTGATTAAAGGCATCCAGTTCCTAGGGGCAAGTCTAATCCTGATCAGAATATCCAGCAAACACGGTAGCAGCAGCAAGAGGAACATCCACTGCCACAGACCCATTTATCCCCTCTCCAGAGTCCCCAAATTAAATTACCTGCTGCTGGCAAAAATCACACCCCTGCTAAGTGCACTAGGCAAATCATAATCACCTTCTGTGAAGCCACTTCTTATCCGAACCTGGGATTTAAAAAAAAAAAAAATCACATAATGTAACTGGGTTTTTTAAGAAATCAGAAATCTCACTACAGAGCACAGTACTTTCTCCACATATTTTATGTGTGTGAACGTTCATAAGAGGGTGTCAAATCCCCTGAAATTAGAGTTAGGATGGTTGTGAGCCACCCATGGGTGCTTAAAAGCAAACCTGGGTCTTTTGCAGGAACAGCAGTGCTCTTAACTACCGACCCACGTCTCCAGCCCTTGATGTGTTTTAGAACCTGTCATTGAAGCTCTCTGGGTGTGAAGCTTTTTTTGTAAGATATTTTTAACTCCAGTTTCTTTCCTAGTTAAACTTGCCAGAAAATAGCTGTGGGCTTGTGGTTATGTAATTCCACTGACTATAATAGTTATAGGACTATTACTAGTTGTTCTTGTATAACTTTATGGTCATTTGTGGGTTTTGAGTAGTTCATCTGTTTAATCTCAATTACTTAATTCATGTATATGAGATGTTACTCTGTTCACTTGTGTTTGAAGTGCTCTGCAGTGATTTCCTTGCTCTTTAAGCGAGTGGGAGTTGAGACAGACCATGTAACCCACACTAGATTCCTTCTATTAATCCCCCTGCTGCAAACTCTTGGGTAGTGGGATTGCAATTATGGATCACCACCCCTGGGTCTTCCTTTGTTGGCTTGGTTATTTAAATCTCTCTCGGTACCTATCTCTACATGCCCTCTCTCCATACATACACATACATCACCGTCTTTGCTTTATGGGTCTTTTTAAAGAACCGACTTTTAGTTTTACTGAGTTGAACTCTTTATCTTCTATTAACTTTGGGTTTATTCTGCTCCAGTTTCTCTCTCTGTCTCTCTTTTGTTTGGGCTTGTTTGTTTGATTTTTTTTGTTTTTTGTTTTTGTTTGTTTGTTTGTTTTGGTTTTTCGAGACAGGTTTTCTCTGTGTAGCCCTGGCTGTCTTGGAACTCACTCTGTAGACCAGGCTGGCCTCAAACTCAGAAATCTGCCTGCCTCTGCCTCCCAAGTGCTGGGATTAAAGGTGTGCACCACCACTGCCCGGCTTGTTTTGTATTTTAAGATTTATTTATTTATTATGTATACAGCAATCTCCTGCATGAATGCTTGAAGACCAGAAGAGGGCACCAGGTCTCATTACAGATGGCTGTGAGCCACCATGTGATTGCTGGGAATTGAACTCAAGACCTCTGGAAGAACAGCCAGTGCTCTTAACCTCTGAGCCATCTCTCCAGCTCCTTTTTTCTAGTTTCTCAAGGTTAGGGCTTGGATAATTGATTTCAGATCTTAGATTCTAATTTGAATGTTTTATGTTATGCTATAAATTTATCTAAAAGAATCATTTTATTGAATTCTTCATTTCTGGGATTTCTCTTTAGTTCTTTTTCAGGCTTTTGCTCATGTTTTGCTCTGTAATTCTAACTTCATTCAATATTGTATTTTTTTTAGACCCATTGAGCTGTCTAATCTTAAGTTTTACATACGTGTGTGTGTGTGTGTGTGTGTGAGTCTATCTGTCTGTCTGTCTCTGTGGGTATGCACACAGGCATTGGCGTGTGCTGAGGCCAGGTAGAGTATTGAATGCCTGGACCTGGGATTACAGACAGTTCTGAGCCACCAGATACAGGTGCTGGGACTTAAACTACAATCCTCTGCAGGAACTACAAGCATGATTACCCCTGAACCATTACTCAAGCCCCAAATTGAGCATCTTAAAAATTATTCTTTTAAATTGTTTGTTTCCTGTTGGGTTATAGGGTCCCGTGTCTACCCTGCCATGGGCCTAGAGCCTCTTGGGCGAGTTTTGACTGTACTCACCCAGGGCAGAGTCTGGCCTGAGAGAAGCTTCCGGGACACTGCTCTGGGGGTGAGGTTTCAGGGACCTGCTGGAGCTAGCTCAGGGGTCCCTGGGCCTGCAGAGCGGCCAGGGACCATCTGGTTCTCAGGCTCTTGGGCACCCAGGCACTGTTGGAAGATCTGAGAATGAAGTGGAAGCCCACAGGCTGGACTAGCCCGCAGCCAAAGGGGAGGGAACAGAGTGCTCGGGCTGTGTCCTGAGGAGAGGAGAGTTCTTGATTTGTCCTTGGCGGTTTGTCGGCTTCCTTGGGTTCTTGGCCTCTGCTGCTGGGAACGCAGAGAGGTCTTCTGTGGGAGATTAGATGGCTCTTTAGGTGAAAGCCTGTTCCATTGTTCCCCACAGCAGATCCTGATGAAAAGACAGTCCGTGGTTTTAAGGCTTTTATTGTCATGGTGGAAAGTAGATGAGAAAACTGTACCCCATTTTCTCAGGGGGAGCCTGAGGTTAAATACCTTTTGCAGGGAGGAGTGTCTGGGAAGGAAAGCTTAATTGGCCAAGCCCTTCTGGTCTTTAGGTACCTCATTAATATGGAGATCTGTCTTGAGGCTACATGGCCTGTGGTCAAATCCTCTACCTATGGAGGGTCTAGGGGTGTTGCACTTACATGACTGAAGGACACAAATCTATGGAGGGCTGCGGCCTCCTGTTAGGATCCTGGAGTCTGGGAGCATGGCCAAATGCCTGCCGGTCCCTCAGGGTCACCTGGGATCACCACAGTTTCCAGCCTGTGCTCCTCCAGAAACCAAGCTGCCTTTCACAGTCCTACAGTTTCCTTATTTGCTTGTTTATTTGAGATGAGGTCTCACTATGTATACTGTCATGTAATTCACCATGTAGACCAGGCTGGCCTTGAACTAACAGAGATCTGCCTAGCTTTGTGGAACTCTTTATTTAGCATTTCACCTATTTGTCTTTTTTGGAATCTGTTATAGGAGGGATCTCTTGTTTTTTCAGATTTCTGTTTTGCTTTGGAGATTAGCACAGCCTGTCCATCAGCCTCCTGTGAGGCCATGTGGGTTTCAGGTTGTGCTTCCCAGCAGCATTGTTGCTGTTATTGCAGCCTGATTCCACACTCCATAGAGTGCTGGATCTCTTGTTCACCCCACCTTGCAGAAAGGAGGTTTGCCCTACCTGAGCCATGGCACCCTTGCAGCAGATGTCCTGCTGTTGTGTCCTTGCTGCTACCCCGAAGCCCAGGCCTGGGCTCCCCAGGGCTCCTCTTGCTCTTTCTGCTATTTAGAGTTGCCCTTGGTGACTTCTTCAAAGTGCAGCTGAACACCTGCTGTGTCTGGTCCATGTGCTTGAGAAAAGAGGTGAATCTTAGGTTCAGCCATCTCAAAATCCCTTTAGTGTCTCTTAAAACATTGTGAAAGTTGCCTGTAGTGGCTAATGATAGTCTCTGGAAACTTCCCACCCCAGGAAAGATTCAGGAATTGGAATTTTAATCTCACTTTACATAAGAAGCAGAAGCTCCTCCAAGAGGAGGTTGAGACTTAGACATAGATAGCAAAGCACACACACACAGAGAGAGTGAGTGTGTGTGTGTGTGTACGCGCACATGCGTAGGCAGGCTAGAGAGAGTTCTTACAGTATGATTTGCATTTAAGCTTATGGTATCCTACCAAGCAGTGCAGGATATTCCTAACTGCTTTTCCTCTCTAGATAATGACATCTCAGAAAGTGAAGTTTAAGAAGGAAATCTATGATGATGTGAAACTGAGAGAAGGTGATATGTTGACTTTAAGTCCTGGTTTTAACTTATTTATTGGTTCTCCTTTAGAATGAGCTGCACCATTGAGAAGGCACTTGCTGACGCGAAAGCCCTTGTTGAAAGGTTGAGAGATCATGATGACGCAGCAGAATCTCTCATCGAGCAGACCACTGCCCTCAGCAAGCGAGTGGAAGCCATGAAGCAGGTCTGACTTTCCCTTGCTGACTTTACTTACCAAGGTTTCACTGATACTTGGTTAAGTAACACATAAATACGTAAATGTCTCAGTCAGTGTTCTGTTGCTGTGAAAAGACACCTTGACTTATACCAACACTTATAAAGGAAAACAATTAATTAATCTGGGCTTGCTTACAGCTTTCAGAAGTTTAGTGCATTATTATGATGGCAGGTAGCTTGGCAGCATGCAGGCAGACATGCTGGAGTAGGTACTAAGAGTTCTACATCTGAATCCACGGGGCAGCAGGGAGAGACTCTGGGCTTAGAATGGGCTTTTTTGAAACCCCAAAGGCCACCTCTTTGAGTGACACACTTCCTCCAGCAAAGCCATACCTCCTAATTCTTTCAAATAGTGCTACTTGCTGGTGATCTAGTGTTCAACTCTATAAGCCAATAGGAGCCGTTTTCATTCAAACCACAATAAACTACTTAATCAAATAATTTCAAATTAAAATATTCAAGTAGCCTCACTTGTATGTGCTTTTTCACTTTGGACTAGGATATATTATCATGTTTCGGTGACATGTATATAGGTAGGTGTACTGGCTGGTTTTGTGTATCAACACAAGTTAGAGTCATCAGAGAAGAAGGATCCTCAGTTGACAAAATGGTTCCATGAGATCCAGCTGTAAGGCATTTTCTCAATTAGTGATCAATGGGGAGGACCCAGCCCATTGCGGGTGGTACCATCCCTAGGCTGATAGTCCTGGGTTCTATAAGAAAACAAGCTGAGCAGGCAAGGGGAAGCAAGCCAATAAGCAGCACCCCTCCATGGCCTCTGCATCAGCTCCTGCCTCCAGGTTCCTGCCCCGTGTGAGTTCTTGTCCTGACTTATGATGAACAGCAATGTGGAAGTGTAAGCCAGATAAACCCTTTCTTCCCCAACTTGCTTCTTGGTTATGGTGTTTTGTCACAGTAATAGAAACCCTGACTAAGATGTAGGTTTATTTTAAAACCTATAAATTAAATTTGTTAAGGACCAGATAACACATTTCACTAATGTTGGCATGCATTGGACATTTTGCTGTGTTATATAATGTCAAGATATTTATACTTTTCTTTATAAAAGTGCTGGGATATTATTTAGCAACCAAATAGTTTTTGGAAATGATTCAAGAAAATATCTCGTTTTCACCCTATGCAGTTATTTCAAGTTAATTTTTTTCTAGCATGTTTTAAATTTGTCATTTACAGAAAGAAATTAAGTTTTGCTTCTTGGTAATAGAATGTGGAGGAATCTTCCAGTAGACAATCAAATTCAGCTAATGTGTAAGCCATCTCTCCATAAAAATTTCCAGCTTTAAAAACAGCAGCTCTAGCTGGGCGGTAGTGATACATGCCTTTAATCTCAGCACTTGGGAAGGCAGATCTCTAAGTTCAAGGCCAGTTTGGGCTACAGAGCAAGTTCCAGGACAACCGGGGGTTCAAAGAGGAAAACTGTGTTTTTCTCTGTCTCTTTAAAAAAAAAGCGGGGGGTAGGGGGAAGCAGCCCTGAACTAAGGTTCTTTAAAAGTCACCAGAAATAGTGTAGCAAGTTCACTTACTCTACTTTGCATGTGTTTCTCCCTAAAGCCATCTGCCCCCGACCATTCAGTCTGACTCTTGCACTCCAGTCAGCATAGACCTGGTGGTGATATGTTTTTAAAGATTTATTTATTTATTTATTTATTTATTTATTTATTTATTTTATATGAGTACACTATAGCTGTCTTCAGACACACACCAGAAGAGAGCATCAGATCCCATTACAGATGGTTTCGAGCCAACATGTGGTTGTTGGGAATTGAACTCGACCTCTGGAAGAGCAGCCAGTGCTTTTAACCATTGAGCCATCTCTCCAGCCCCCAAAGGAGTTTGACTCCTGAAGTTAGGAATCAGGAGTGTCGGCCGGGCGGTGGTGGCGCACGCCTTTAATCCCAGCACTTGGGAGGCAGAGGCAGGCGGATTTCTGAGTTTGAGGCCAGCCTGGTCTACAGAGTGAGTTCCAGGACAGCCAGGGCTACACAGAGAAACTCTGTCTCGAAGAAAAAAAAAAAAAAAGGAATCGGGAGTGTTATTGTGTTAGTTAGGGTTTTAGTCCTGTGAAGAGACACTGTGACCGCTGCAACCCTTTTAAAGGAAAATATTTAATTGGGGCTGGCTTACAGTGGAGAGGTTTAGTCCATTATCATCATAGCAGCATGCAGGCAGGCATGGTGCTAGAGGAGCTGAGAATTCTACATCTTGATCCACAGGCAGCAGGAAGGCAACAGACTTGACCTTCTGAGACCTTAAGGTCCACACTCTAATCATGAACCTACTTCAAGGTCACATCTCCTAATAGCGCCACTCCCTATGAGCCTATGAGGGCCATTTTCTTTCAAACCACCAGTTATGATGAATTTATTGATAGCTATTTAGTAAGAATGCCTCAAGAAAAATGAATGTAATTCTAAAGTTGGATTCCCACTTAAAAAAAATTCAAAATCCAACCAGGTATGGTAGTGGCACATGCCTTTAATCCTGGCACTTGAGAGGCAGAAACTAGTGGATCTCTTTGAGTTTGAGGCCTGCCTGGTCTACATAGTGACTCCCAGCACAGCCAAAGCTACGTAATAGACAGGCTCTGTCCATTTCCCAAGAACAATCTGCTCCCCGCATTTTGTATACATCCATCAGTCTTTCTGGCTTCCTGCCCTCAACCCTGGAAACTACTGAGCTTCTCTCCCAGTGGATCTGCCTGCTCTAGACACTGCATGTGAGTAGGATGTGAGATATCTGCCTGTTGTGATTGGTCTCTTACCATGTTTAAAAATTTATCTGGGTTGTAGTATATGTCTATTCATTGCCCAATAATATGCCACTGCAAGGGGATATAGTGTGTCCTGTTTCTCCTTTTCTTCCTTGGGTAGATACTTGAATGCTTCTCTTTTTTTCTTATGAGTAAGGGCACTGTGAACATTTTCTCTTCCTTAGGAATGGAATGTTGGGTCATATAATGCTTGTTTAATACTTGGAGGGTCTGCTCATTATATTTGTATATCAGATAAAAATTTGCAAGTAATGTCTTTCCATATGTTGTTCTTTAACCTTTTCATTAGTATCAGGAAGAAATCCAAGAACTTAATGAAGTAGCAAGACATCGGCCACGATCCACACTAGTTATGGGAATCCAGCAAGAAAACAGACAAATCAGAGAATTACAACAAGAGAACAAAGGCAAGATATATTGTCATTAAAAAGAACTTTAGTCTTTCATTGTGATAATTTATATATTCATAAATGGGAGAGGGGCTAGAGAGATGGCTCAGACGTTAGGAGCACTTGCAGAGAACCCAGGTTCATTTCCCAGCACCCACATTAGGCAGAGCTCACAGCCTCTATAACTGTCATCTCCAGAGGACCCGGCACTCTCTGGTGTGTCTGGTGTGCAGGCAGACATACATGCAGGCTCTTATGTATACACATGAAATAAAATAGAATCTTTTCTTTAAATGGAAATAGTCAACAGAAGTTACTTTCTTAACATTTTAATCTCATTTTTTGGTCTGTATCCCTAGATATACTTACTGCTGCTTTATCCAGGCCTCTGAATGTGAATGTGAATGTCTGCCCAGCGTGGCATCATCTTAGATGCCTCTCTTCAACATCCCGTTTGCACTGTTTGTATCACCTGTGAAGGAACCCCACTCCATCCTCTACAGTCCCAGCCCGGGGACTCATGATCCCTGCCATCCTGTCCCTCCATCCTTCAACACACACATTAGACTGAGCTGCTCAGAATACATATTTTATTTTCTTGAACAGGGACTTTCAGTCATTTCCTGGTCTCTCCTCTGCCCTCTTCCCACAGCTCTCCTCCAGACACATACATTCTGCCATGGCAAACCAGTTCCTAAGACATTCTTGACTGCCACACCCCTTGTTTAGGAATATCATTCCTTCGGTGTGTGACGTAAGAGCTCAAGTTCATCACAACACTCTACTTCTGTGGAACTTTCCCCAGTCTAAAATAATTTTAAGAAGTGAGTTTTGATTGAACACTTTGAAAAGCTGAGAGAGGGCTCAGCAGATAGGGGCACTTGCCACCAAGCCTGACTTCCTGAGTTCTCTGTCCCTGGAACCCATGTGGTCGAAGGTGAAAGTCAGTTGCAGGTTGTCTTCCGTGCATGTGCCATGGTATGCCTGTAAACACACATAGGAGCATACAACTTTTTTTTTTCTTCAATAAAAATTGAGGGAGTCCTTTGTTGCATGTTTTCTTTTTAAGATATTGTGTATGTCAGTGTTTTGATAAATATTATATGGAAGAGCATAGTTTACATAATCTTAACTCATTTGTATAATGTACATTGTTCTTGATAGAACTGCGAACATCCTTGGAAGAACACCAGTCTGCCTTGGAACTGATAATGAGCAAGTACCGAGAGCAGATGTTCAGATTGCTAATGGCCAGCAAAAAAGACGACCCAGGTATAATAATGAAGTTAAAAGAGCAGCACTCAAAGGTAATCCATTCTGCGAAATTGACTTGGGATGAAAGCGGGGCCATTTGTTAACCTATGTTCAGATTTTAAACAATGAAGATCTAGTAATATTGTTTTAATATATATATATAAAATACTTCACATTTTTAATTGACATTTTCTGTCATCATCATCCCCCCATTTCTTATTTCATACCATTTTTTTACTTGGCTTATTCTTCTAACTCTCTTTGCTCCTCAGTAACAGGGTCTTAACACTATGTAGCCTCTGGTTGTCCAGGAACTCACTTTGTAAACCAGGCTAGCCTTCAGAGATCCACCTGCCTCTGCCTCCCAATTGATGTCCTTAGTAACTTTTAAATGGTGAGTGTGTGAGTGCGTGCCTGCATGCGTGCATTCAGAAATAAACTATTTTAAAAATTAAAGTTTCTCTGCTTTTAAGTAGTATTTTTTTTTCTAGTGAATTTGTGCAATGCTACGTGTTACACAGACACTAAAATGCTTTAAAGACAGCCAGCAGCTGAGTATAGATTGCTTTCTTGAAGAGGCTAGTCTGGATAAGGCCAACTCATTTTCGTGAAAAACTGTGGGGCTAGAGAAGGAATTGAACCAATACTGTGTGTAGTTGACACTGTCTTAGAAAACCAAGCTGAGGTGGTTACAGTTAGTGTTCTTGCAGTCAGTTTACTTGGGGTCACTTAGGGGGCAGTTGTCAAGACAAGCAGGATAACTTGTTTACATTAAACTGAATTTTAACTACCAGTGTGAAATAAAAATACTAAACTAGATTGGATATCTTATCTGTGTTGGATATTGATAAAGTAACCTACTTACAACTAATATTATTTAAGAAATAGTAGTAGTTATGCGATATATATATTTCTCAATTATTGACACATATTTTGGAATCTTTAAAATATTTCTTCCATGATGGTGTCTGTAGAATTTTTAAATTATTCCATCAGAATTAAATAACTAATAGTATTCTTTGGGTGACAGATTTACATATTAATATAACAGCTACCCTCTTGTGTTAGTAGGAGAATAAAGAATTAAAATTGGAGTTAATATTATCTAGTTATAATATTCATGCCCTAACAAAATGGAAGTTCTTGGGTATTTAACTGGTCTTCTGAATGTAAAGTCTATATTGTTAATGGTAATATTCATTACAGAGCATTTCAATGTATACCTAAGCCAAGCCTGGTGACACTCACCCCTTTAGTTCCAGTACTTGTGAGTTAGAGGCAAAAAGGTCAGGATTCAAGGATAGCCTGGACTACATGAGATCCTGTTTTAATTCTGCCCCTCCAAATAAATAAGTAAATGTATGACTAAGAGGAGTTTTTTTTTTTTTTTTTTTTGCATAAAGAATTGAAATGCAGTCTTAATTCTCAAAAATCCTCATGGTTTACAATTTTAAAAATGAAATTTTTTGTTTGTTTTTTTGTTGTTGTTTTTGGTTTTTCGAGACAGGGTTTCACTGTGTAGCCCTGGCTGTTCTGGAACTCACTCTGTAGACCAGGCTAGCCTCGAACTCTCGAACTCAGAAATCTGCCTGTCTCTGCTTCCCAAGTGCTGGGATTAAAGGCGTGCGCCACCAGCGCCTGGCAAAAGTGGAATTTTGAAAGAAGAGTAAATACCATGGTGGACAGGGGGTGGAGGTGTAGAATAAGATCCAACAGATTGTTAGTCCCATACAGTAGCAACTGTGATGGCATGTGTTTTCTAAAACACATTAGGAGATAGGGGCATCGCTCCATGGTAGAGCATGTGTTGGGCATGCCTGAGGCTCTGGGTTCAATTCCCGCACCAAAAATAAAGCCCACTGGTGTACCATTCATCTATGCTGTCCTGTTCATTTAAAAAGTTAAACATTTCCTAAGTAGCTACTAAACCTTGTGTTTTTATTATGTAGATTGAGTTCATCTAAGTGCTGACCCTTGCCTTCCATAAATGACTATTCAGTTATTTGCTATTAATTCTAACTAATACATATTAATGTTTGTGGTTTTGATTTTTCCCAAAAAGGAGACACTCTGGCTTAGTAAATCAAACATTGATTAGTGCCCTGTGTTTAGTTGTTATGGGCAAGAGCAAGATAAATGAAGGAATTCATTATGTTACTGTTAAGCTTACAGTGTAATGGAAGGTACAGAACCAAACCTAACTATGATATACGGCAGTGTGATAACAATTAGTAGTCACTATAGCAGGAGGAGCAAAGTCTGAAAGAAGGTAAATTATTGAATCTAGCCTTGAATTCACTGCAGGAGTCGGGGATGCACAAGCAGAGAAATGAGATAAAGGCACCAAAGTGCAGGGCTCTAGAATTGTTTAGGCACCAGTGGTCTAATACGCCTAAACAGAAACAAGTTTGCAACACTCTTGGGAACACAGATGAGTGTAGCTGCACTTTGGAGCATGAGTCCCACTAGAAGCTGTAGTAATATAATTTTGCACTCACCTAGAGCTTTTTGAGTCCATATTAAAAATCACTAGAAAACATAACTCAGTTTCATCCAAATACTTATTTTTACATTATTTTTTAACAGATGCCTTTTTGGAAATCTTAAAAAAGCAAACATTCCAACAGTTGGCTAACACGCATGAACTAACACTCACACAGTTTATTATGACGGATGAAATCCGCATTAACACTATAATGACTCTGTACTACAGATTGACATGGTACATCGTAACAGCTGCGAAGGATTCTTCCTGGATGCATCTCGGCACATCCTTGAAGCACCTCAGCACGGACTGGAGAGGAGGCACTTGGAAGCAAATCAGAATGTACACTAAATCAAACAGTCAACTTTGGGGGTGGATGGAAGTGGGGTCCATTTAAAAAAGTTGTTTTACCTTGACTTGCCCTTCAGATTAGATCAGCAAATAAATGGAATCAATGAAAGAAAGGTGTGCTTTTCATGGCCGTGCTGCTGAGTCTAAAACGCTTCAGTTTGTCCCTGATTCTCTGTGTGTCATGCACAGGATATAAGTAATTACACATACACATACATAAAATTGACGTATATAAGACTATAAAGTATATGTGTGTATGTATATATATACACACATACACACACAGTGTCACAGAAACTTTTGATATGTTTACCCACCATCTTTTATTTGCTAGACGTTGCTGAAGTTTTTGTTATAAAACTATTTCTAAATGTTTTCTTACTCAGGAGGCAGAGGCAGGGAGATCTCTGTGAGTCTGAGGCCAAATTGATCTGCATAGCGAGTTCCAGACTAGCCATAATTATGCAGTGAGACCCTATCTAAAAAAAGAAACTATATTTTCCTTGTAATAACTTTAGCCTGTTAGTATGAGCAGGCTGGTCCATCAAACTTAAAACTTTTAATTTAGATATTTAATTATTTGCAGTCCTTTTGTTTGAGTTCACAAATAGGCTTTTGTGCAGACATAACTGTACATAATGATTCTCTCTGCCTGGGTCTTAAGTGTTGTTGCTGCAGAGTAGGAATAAACAGACATAAAAGTAAGCAGTGTGTCAAGACAGCTCAAGGGTCCTGTGTTGGCACTTGGGCTTCAGAGCCACAGCTCTTGTTTTGTGTCCCTTAAAAGCAGTGTGACCCTCACAGCTAGTGAGTAAGTCGTTCATGGGGCCTCTAATTCATGCTAAGTATGTTTTGTTTCTTCCTTATGATCTTGTTTAAACAGACTGTACTAAAAAATCAATACCTCTCTTTTCAATTTTAAAGGCAGTCAATTATTGACTTCCTATGTTCCTTTTAAATGTATGCTAGTGCCACAGTTCTGACCACATTATAAACTGAGAAAGCCATTGGTATTCAAAAATTTTTTACCATCATTCAGCTGTTCAGTCTTCTGTATTGTGTCCTCTATAACAGAGGGATCTTAGTGATATTGCAGTATGGGAGACAATGGCATCTCTTTGCTTTGGTAACAGCTTTGTTACCACAGGCTAATCCAAGGCTGTCCAGTAGACCATAGATGGTATCTGTGCATCCTGTGGAAGGTACTCAGCTGCATATCACCATTAGCCACGTAAAAGTGTCACTTGTACAAGTGAGAGACAGAATTACTAATTTTTAACGTACTTAGTTTTAATTTTAACTGTACTGTACTAGACAAAGCAGATTAGTTCTTTATTGTATCTTCTGAGTGCTATGTTATAAAGATTTCTCCAGTAAGACAAAGGTGTAACCTCTATTAAGGGTGTAGCCCTAGATTCATTCCCCAGAACCAAAATCATGTAAGGTGCCTGCATCTTTTCTTTAAGATTATTAAATGGGGCTGGGGCATAGCTCAGTGATAGGGTGCTCTTCCAGTTTAATAGTTATGTGAGTTCTTTAAGGTCTTGATCAAATCCTTTCTACAACCATTCAGCTATCTAAAAGACTTGATGTTCATTTGGGATTTTTGTTTTTCATTGACTTTCATTATTTAATTTTTGTATTAATATTAGCAACTTAATTATTCTTGGGCTTTTGTTCGATTTTTAAACCCCTTTGTCTCCTTCATTGAACAAAGCTCATAAGGTCGGGAGATATCTTGAGAGGAATCACACTTTTGTTGCCTGGCTTAGTGCTTGACACATCATAGATATGCAAGAAACAAGGAGTGAGATTGAAAGAATTTGTAAAACTGATAAATATGGATATCTATATTATGGTGAAATTCTATTTTTATCAGGTGGGAAAAAATGCCACTTGATGTTTCAATACTCCATAGCACTTTGTTCATTTTACATAATAATTCTTACACAACAAACACTAGATAAATAACAGACAGATGTAAACAATATGCTTTTTACTCTCAAGGAGGATTATGGTCTAGAAAGGCTCTTGGTTGAGTTGAATCAGCTTATATGCATTAATACTACAGAGGAGACTGACTCATGCAGACTTCAGGGAAGAAGAGATAGCATGTGCGCCAACAGTCCCTGGTCGTTGTGGTAGATGTGAATAAGTATTTTGCTATAGGGTTGAGTTATACTGTGATACGTATCCTTAATTCTAATCTTAACACCTCATGTCTACCAGTTTGTTATGAATCATGTTAAAAGGCCACATGAGGACATCACACTTGTGTTAGGTGGCAGTGCGATTCTATCCAAAGGGCAAATTCAAACCTAGTAAAGTCTTCCTCTCATCTCCACGTCCACCTTTTCTTCCAGGAGTTGCAAGCACATGTTGACCAGATCACCGAGATGGCAGCAGTAATGAGAAAAGCTATTGAAATTGATGAACAGCAGGGTTGCAAGGAACAGGAGCGAATATTTCAACTTGAAGTGAGTTTTAAACTTCAAATCAAATATGGGTTGAAAGTATCTCCAAAAGACTCAACCAGAGAACATTCTCAGCCTTAACACCCACACTCTTTAAGTTGGTGGTAATGAGTTCTCTTTTTCTTTTGTTTTTTGAGACAGGGTTTCTCTGTATAGCCCTGGCTGTCCTAGAACTCACTCTGTAGACCAGGCTGGCCTCAAACTCAGAAATCCACCTACCTCTGCCTCCCAAGTGCTGGGATTAAAGGCGTGCGCCACCACCGCCCGGCTATGATTTCTGAATCTGAATGCTGGTAACAGTGGAATAGACCACTAGGTCATAATGTCAGAGTCTGGGGTCCTCAGGGATGCGTAAGTGTACCAGTACTTGAGAGGGTTGATTGTTAACTAGGCACAGTGGTGCACCCCTTTAGTTCCAGCATCTGGGAGAGGCAAGTAGAGGTCGGCTCTCTCAGCAAAGGACCTGAAAGCATTTGGGATTTTGCAATCTAGTCAATTTATATCTGCTTAGCTTCATTGTGGTAATGCAAAAGCAGCCACAAACAAAAGGAGAAAGTTAGAACTGTGCTCAGAAACAACCCTCGGGCCAGACCATTGAGACTTGGAAAGAGCCTGTAACAGCTGTAGAGAAGAAGTTATAAGATGACAAAATTGCTTACAGTACTAGATAATCATTTACATTTCTTTCTGAAAAATAATTACCACACCTGGTCTTGGCTGAACTCAGATTTTGCTGAGGGAAACATACCTACTAACTTCTACTGAGTGATGAAATCTACCTCAAGGTATTATTCATATAAACTTATCACTAGCGTCGGTGTAGATGAGTGTTTTATATACACATGCATATATCATCTGCAGTCTGTTTGCAAAACAAGCTGATTTCTGCCTAGTCACCTGCTCCATCTGCACACGTTAAGGCTTCTAGTAGCGAGGGGGTGGAGTGCCGATGCTCCATCTTTAGCACCAGTTAAAATCTGGTTTTGTCTTGTTTTTTAGATCAAGTCTCACTGTGTAGCCCTGGCCGGCCAAGAACTCCTTATGTAAATTAGAATGCCCTCAAACTCAGAGATTCCCCTGCCTTTGCCTCTCCACTGCTGGGATTGAAGGCAGGTGTCACCACACCCAGTTTTTAAACCTGTCTAGATTGAGGTTGTGACTGCCTATAGCACATATATCTATCCATTGATGTGTTACAGAGTCCGCTTTCTGTGCTACACTTCATACAATTAGCTTTTAAATTATGTATTCCCCTTGGAGCTGCCTTAAGGGAATCAGTCAAACCAGCAGTTTCTGTTTCTGCATGTTTTCCATTTGCATAGAGTATAAACCATCTTGGGTTTTGCTTGTCTCCTTACAGCAAGAAAACAAAGGCTTGAGAGAGATCCTTCAGATAACTCGAGAATCCTTTTTGAACCTTCGGAAGGATGATGCATCAGAGAGTACATCTCTGTCTGCCTTAGTGACTAACAGTGACCTGAGTCTGAGGAAGAGCTGAGTGGCTTTCTGCGTGGTCACTAGAACGGGCCCAGAAGTGAGTGGATGAATGAACATAAAACTAAACTTCAGTCAACCTTTTTCTTCTAGTATGTCCAAGGACACTGGCAAAGAGACAGCAGCAGTGTGTATAACCAGTGGTCATAAACTAGATCCCAATCCCAGTCAGAAAGAGAAGCTGAGCCACAGAGGGAACAGTGAGTCTTCAGGGTGCTGCTGCCCACTGCGGTGTCAGAAGTGCTGTTGGCTTTCTGGATGATTCATAGATCACCCTGAATACGCCTCATAAACGCTGGAAAGCCTAAAAATTATCACAGTTTTAAAAGTAAGGTTGGTGTGGTTTCTGAATGGAAGACTTTGTTGTAAGTCTTCTCCTTCCTGTTGAGCGTCAGAGTCACCATAGCTTGTGTACATAAAGCTTCTGCGTTGGTGCTTGCCTCTCCACCTCCCGTGTGTTCAGTCCTCATCAAAGGCAGTTCCCACTGAAAGGCTATAGGAATATGTCACTTGCACCACAAACAGAAGGAATATACTTACACCTAGTTCCCATAACTCTTAGCTAGCAGTTATTCATGACTTGCTTAAGTGTATGCATCTGAGGAAGGAAAGACAAAGAATATACTTTCTAAGAAAGACACATTAAGTAGGTTAAACTACTTTGAAAGATTATGTTTTGGTTCTCTGTTAACAATGAACCTGGTTCTTCCTCCTCTTTACATGATGTTTAAGGATATGAGACAGTTCACCACGAATCAGCATTGACATATTTAGAGATAGGTATGGTCATTTCCAAGTAAATTTGGAATTCCTTTATTGTTATTTAAGAAATTATTCTTCAAACACTTACAAAGTAGATGCAGGTTCCAAAATCAAAGTTCTGGGTCTGAGTCTAAGCCCCATTTAGTTCTTATAACCTGTGAGGTTTTCCCTACAACCTATGATTCAGAAACTGGCAGTGAAGCGTGGACCCACAGGCATTGTGCTTTGCACTTTAAAAAAAAAAAAAAAAAAAAGCTTTTAAGGCCACAGGATATGGAAGTGTGCTTTAATACCAGTTGCAACCTAAAAACCGTTCTGTAGTGGTCAGAATAAAAGAACAAAAAATTGTGAAATATGGCTAAAAATACACTATGCTTGTATGTGGAGTCCATACTGAAATTAGCACAGATAGAAAGTTAGACTTTTCAGTATATCATTTGTTAAGTACATATTACTTTGCAGTGTAATTTTATGTGTAATTTCATGTATTGGCAAAATTCAAAGGACTTTTTACTTGAGAACCTTTGATTCTGAAGTTTGAGGTGAGTGGGGTCATAGGTCTGTTAGGAAAGGGCCAGTACCCCAGATGTTAAACCGTTCTCATGCAGAGGCCTTAATATTTTATATAAGTGAATTTATTTTTAAGATTTTTCTATTGGTTTTTGGAGGGTATCCCTTAATTTAGTGGTACATTCTTTCGTGTAGTTTTGTCCCGGGCCAGAATTTTAAAAAGAAAGGCTGCACAGTTGATACGAGTCAGAATCAGTGTATTGAGCAAGTTCTATTGTGAAACGTTATTTGAGAAGTAATTATTTTTATAAAAAATTATTTATCCTTTGTGTTCTTGGATATAATTTTAAGGTTGTGAATATTGAAAGACATTTGCTTTGTTTTTAGCAAGTTTTCCATCCCCCTCCCCCCCCAAAAAAAACAGCTTTAAGCTTACATGAGAGTGTGCTGAAGAGAGGAGCCTATTTTGTCAATAAAGATGAGTGTTTAAAACTGGTCTGGTCTCAGGGTTAATTTGAAAACAAAGCTCACATTTCTTAAATACATTTTGTGGTTTTGCTGAGGGGATAGGGGGTGCTAGGGTTTGAACACAGAACTTTATGTACAAGTGCTCTTCACTAAGCTGCATCCTCAGCCCTTGGGCCTATTTTTGTTGGGGGTGGGGGACTATTTGTGCCAGTGCATTCATGGGTGTGTGCCTGCATGTGTGTTTGTGCACATACATGCCTTATTCCTGAATAGTGCTGTAACCCCTCAATTTTCCCAAGATCTCACCCAGTCTATAACCTGCATAGTATTTTAATGCCCTGGGACTCTCAGACTTAGAGTTCCTGTTTACTCTCTCATAACCTCCACACTAATCTGTCTGTAACTACCATAGAGACATTTCAGGCTGAAACTCCCCAAAGCCAAACTCTTCATCCCCAAACTTCTAAAGTGTTCCCCATCCTTGCAAGGGCAACTGCAGGGCACAAAGATGCTAGCACCTTAGACGTTAGTTTCTTTTGTATCTTGCATTGGATTTGTTAGCAAATCCTGCTGGCTATTTATGCAGCCCTAGTCCAAGCCACAGTAGAGTGGATAATAACATTCAACCTTAGTGGTGCACACCTTTGATCCCAGCACTTGGGTGGCAGAGGCAGGTGGATCCCTGCAGTTCCTGGGTAGCCTAGTTGACAAAATGAGTTCTAGGACGCCCCGGGCTAAACCATGTCTCAAAAAAAACAACAAAAGAAAGCCCTACAGTAAGAAGTCATTGTTAGGACACTCTTGGTGTGGTTTAAAGCAACAGTAAAACCTGAGGCCACATAATAAAGGTGTTAAGTTACATACCTACAGGGCTTGGGAGGTGGCTCAGCTGGGACCTAGCTTGCCCTACAAGTAAGACTTATGTAAAAAGCACTGAGACAAAGCCTAGAATTAGGGCCTAAACAATTCTCAGGATCCTGGGGAAATTTGGGTGAAGGCAGGCTCCTAATAGCAGGTTTGGGCACTTTTGACTCCAGCATTCTGGTGACTAGGCATCACTTCTTCAGCAAGCCCATGTGCTTAACCTGTTTTCCCCAGTGCTTGCTTTAAGCTGAGCCTTCTATCCTTACCGTCTGTGTGGATACTTAAATTGAAGATTTAAAAAAAACAAAACAGTGCAGTAGGAGGCATCCCATATATACCTCTTTATGTACTGAGTCCTGTTTAAATCACTAGACATTTATTAGCTCTTATTCTTATCTGGAGATTGAACCCAGTAGGGCCTTGCACATCTACCACAGAGCACATCCTCAGGCCAGGCCACACTCATCTTTACCCTTTATCTTTAAAGAAAAGTGAAGGTGGAACCACAAATATAACTAGTCAATCTTCCCACAACCTCATTCCCAACCCCCGAACTTACTGCACATTTCCTGAGTGTCAAAAACCTGTCTAGTTATTTTTAGAGGTATATGGACAAACAGCTGAAATTGTATTGTACTGCAATTGTTTAAATATATATATAATTGCCTGTGCATGTGGGGCACGTACTGCAGCACAGACCAGAAGATGATTGATTCTGTGGTGTCAGTCCTCTCCTTCCACCTTTATGAGCTGCAGGGACTGACTTCAGGTCTCCAGATTTGAAGTCAAATGCCTTTATTCCCTGGGCCATTGAGAGATTCTGCACTGGGTTCTTGACTCAGTTTTGTTTTTTGTTTTTGCTTTTAAGTTAATAACATCCCATGCATTCTTTTTTCCATTTCAGCAAAACAGATCAACTAGCCCACTCTTTCAAACAACTAAAGCTTTAAGCAAGTACTAACAGTTAAAACCTGTACTCATGATAGAATTACTGATCCTGGAATACAGGCCATTCTTCCCAAAGAGCATGGGCGGGAAGAATACATGGGAAATTTTAAGTATAACCACAGGAAAGGGAGCTGTTTGGCATCTGGACTCCCCACAGAGAGTATGACCACAGACTTAGCACTTAACGTCTGGGCTCGCCACTGGAGGGCATGACCACAGACTTAACACTCTCTGTTCTTGACTCCTTTAAAATAGAGGTGTCTTGTCCGTTTCCATTCTCAAATCCCAGCAGTGTTATCCTAAGAGTTTCTCAAATACCAGCTTGCTCTAGAAGGGGACTGTAGTAACACCACCTACTGTCAAAACAAAAGGCCAAAAAGGAGTAAGTAAATAAATGCAACACAACACCCCTCCACACACACTTTAATCTGACCACAAGCGTCTGGAGCCTGACCCACTAGGAACCTATGCTTACACCAAGCTAGACTCAAACCACTTGAGTCACCCTCAGCAACATAGCAAGCTCAAGGATGGCTTGGACCATATGAGATCCTGTCTCAAAAATATTTCCCTTTCTGAGAAAGATTGAAGCATCCTCCCTTAAGCCCTCCTGTTTACTTGGCTTCTTTGGGTCTGTGGGGTGTATCATGGATACCCTGTGCTTTATGGCTAATGTCCACTTATGAGTACATACCATGCATGTCCTTTGGATCTGGGTTACCTCACTCAGGATGATATTCTCAAGTTTCATCCATTTGCCTACAAAATTCATGATGCTTTTGTTTTTATAGCTTGAATAGTATTCCATTGTGTAAGTGAACCACATTTTCTTTATCCATTCTTCAGTTGAGGGACATCTAGGTTTTTTCCAGTTTCTGGCTATTACAAATAAGGCTGCTCTGAACATAGTTGAGCAAGTGTCCTTGTGGTATGGTGGCATTTCTTTTGGGGTGTATGCCCAAGAGCGGTATAGCTGGGTCTTCAGGTAGAACTATTTCCAATTTTCTGAGAAAATGTCAAATTGATTTCCAGAGTGGTTGTAAAAGTTTGCGCTCCCACCAGCAATGGAGGAGTGTTCTTACTCCACACCCTCACCAGCATGTGCTGTCAACTTCAGTTTTTGATCATAGCCATTCTGATGGGTGTAAATTTCAGAGTCGTTTTGATTTGCATTTCCCTGATGACTAAGGATGTTGAACGTTCCTTTAAGTGCTACTCTGCTGTTCAAGATTCCTCTGTTGAGAATTCTGTTTAGTTCTGTATTAGGGGAGATTAGATATCCCCGGAGGTGGATGGAGGGAGGGGTTTGGGTGGGTAAGCAGATGGGAAGGGGAATGGGAGGCTGGGAATCAGGTGTAGGGAGAGCAAACCAGAGAACAGAAATTGGTGGTGGGCGAGGGGGGGGGGGCCCACATCTCCAGGACATACCAAAGAGTCAATGGGGGCAACTCTGAGACTCTAGCAATGGAAATATGGAGCCTGAAGTGCCCACCTACTATAGGCAGGCAGGACTCCAACAACCCACACATAAAACCTTTAACCCAAAATTTGTCTTGCCTACAAGATGTGCAGAGACAAAGACAGAGAAGAGATTGAGGGAATAAATAGCCAACCAATACCTGGCCCAACTTGAGATTTATTCCATGGGCAAGAACCAATCCCTGACACTATTAATGATACTCTGTTATGCTTGCAGACAGGAGCCTAGCATAACTGTCCTCTGAGAGGCTCCACCCAGCAGTCAATGGAAACAGATGCAGAGACCCACAGCCAAACGTTAGATGGTTACATGGAGCACGGGAGTCTTGTGGAAGAGTTGAGGAAAGATTGAGGGACCCAAAGGAGATTGGGACTCTACAGGAAGACCAACAGAGTCAACTAACCTGGACCCTTAGGGGCTCCCAGAGACTGAATCACCACCCAAAGAGCAAGCAAGCATGGGCTGGACCTAGACCCTCTGCACATATGTAGCAGATGTGCAGCTCGGTCTCCATGTGGGTCCTCTAACAACTGGAGAAGGGGCTTACCCTGACTCTGTTTCCTGCCTGTGGATCCTATTCCCCCAACTGGGCTGCCTTGTCTGGCCTCAATGAGATGCGCTTAGTCCTACAGTGACTTGATGTTCCAGGGTGGGGTGATAGACAGGGAACCTCCCCCTTCTCTGAGAAGAATGGGGGGATGGGGGAAGGAGCTGTTGGGGGGGGATGGGAGGAAGGGGGACTGATGTTGGGATATAAAGTCAATAAATAATGAAAAAATAAAAGTAAATACATTTAAATATACATAAACCATAACATACCACTCTGGATTGTCTTCACTTCTTGTTATCCTCAAGTTGAGTTTTTAAAACAAAGAACTGTATTTTTCCAGATTAAATAACTTTATATAATTACAGACATGACTGTATAAACTGGAGACATCCTAATAAGAAAGACGTAAGCATTTTTTTTTCAAAGTAGGTATTTATTACAAAAATTATACAAATAGTATTATTAAAATTATGAAAATTTACAAATATTTTGTATTCTCCCTCCAAAACAGCATATTCTGCCTTTTACAGCTCTTGACTGTCAGTGTGTTCCAACAGTACAGAGAATAGTTCTCCAACAATCCTCACAACAGAAATGCAAGCATGTGACAAGCCAGAAACCCTATAGTAACTTTTTAAAAAAATTATTGCTGAAGCTACATAGTAATAACAGAATAAGACTCTCCTGAAATGAGCCAAAAGGGGTTCATTTTATAATTTTTCATTATGTTTTACCTTCAAAACCATTTTTCAAAGCCAGAAGTGAAGACTCCGCCCACTCCCTGAAATGTCAAGACTATGGTCCTGCTGTGAAGAGACTCAGAAGCACCACAGGTTAAGCAGTGGTAACCTAAGGTGGCACACCACTGGCACACCAGCGCACTGAGTCACACATGTCGGGGAAACCAGCTGACAACCCACAACCTGGTGTTCAGAGGAGTCAAAAGGGTGTGGCCCTCCTTAAAGAACCCAGGGTGGGTGGCCTTAAGAAGCAGCTCGGCTGAGTGATCCCTCTGAGCTTCGGAGCACAAAGTTACACAAAGCAATCATTAACACAACGTTACAGGGTGCTAGGAAGAAGGTCTCACTGACTTCTCTCTGACAAAATACAGTCCAGTCACCATCTTAATGCAACCTAAGAAAGAAAGCTCACCAGCCAACAGTGCTTTAAGTGGCCCCAAAACAAAAATAGGCCATCATTTGGGCTATAAATAACATATCTTTAATAAACAACTATTTTCGATTACAGAAATAATTTAGCTATCTAATTTACCACTTTAAACACTACCTGGCAAAACAACAGGAAATCTACCTTGATAACATTTTAGGATAGTTTGCCACAGTTTTTAAAATAAATTGTTTGAATACTGAAAAAAAAAATGAAAAGAGTTCCTGATTTTAATATGAGATGTAGGCAAGTAATCAGACTGCTTTTAAGAAAAAGGGGGAGTTACTTTTCCCTTCGTCTTGACATTCAAGGGTCCAGAATCAAATCCCTAAACTTCTACACACAAAGCAAATAAATACCCACTGCCTGCCTCCCCCTCCACAGGTTCAGACTGAGTCTAACTGTCCAAGAAGCTACAAGAAAAGAACACCAGGGCTTTAAGGAGACATTTTTATTTCTTGGTGTATTTTATAAAAGACATCAATCATCTATATAAACCAAAAGATAACTCCTCAAGATTGTGGAAAATGAGGAAACACATCTATGGCCAACTATTTAGTGATTTTTCCCACTTAGAATCCTCTAACCCCACTGCTGTACATCAACAGGGACGTGGTCCTATCACTCACCCCGGCTGACCCCGCACTGGTCCTGGGACAGCTGGGCTGTCTAGATGAGAGCTTCAGGGCAAACACTAACCCTCAGCCTTCTACAGAAGCAGTGGCGTCCGCTCTCCAGCCGGTTGTTCCTTCTGGAAGAACTCTTTGATCCGAGCGACCCGGCCATAGAGCCTCTCTCTCAGGGGAGGGAGGTGATGGCTAGGATCCAAGATGTTGGTCACTCTGCGTTCTCGCTCTTGCCTCCATAGCTTGTAGGGATGGGGAGGGAACGGCGGCTGTCCCCTTTCTCTTCGAATCTGAAGTGTAATCCCACTGACAGCCAGCATCCCCCACAGGGCCAGGATGATGTAGTCTAAAGGAGAGAGGTACCCTTTGTACTTGGGAGATTTTCTGTTGTGGGTTGGTTTTGCTTTTCAGTATATGTCTCAAGCTATATCCCAGACTAGCCCTAAACTTATGGCAATCCTCCTGCCTTCTCTTGAATACCAAGATTATAGACATGAGCCACCAAGCCACCAATTTTTTATTTTACATACACACACACACACACACACACATATATATATATAAAATGTGGTGTGTGCAGATTCTTGTGTGTGGAGGTCACAGTGGGTGGCAGGTATCCTCTATTGCTCTCCATCTTACTGTTTGGATAGACGGTCTATCCCATTGAACCCAATCAGCTAGATCCACTGGCTAGCAAGCCCCACTCACTGGAGTTACGTATGCACGCTGACACACTCGGGTGTTTACACAGGGATCTGAACCCCGATGCAGAGCAAGCACCTTACCCACTGAGCCACCCTCTCTGGCCCCAACTTCTCTTTTTCTTTCTCTTTCCTTGTTCCTTTTCTCTCTTTCCTCCATCACCCCCTTTTATTCCATTTTATTTTTCAAGATGGTGGTCTTAGTTCTGTAGTCAACCCTAACCTGGAACTCACTATGAGCCTTGCTTGCCTCAGATTTGTGGCAATCCTCCTGCCTCAGTTTCCTGAGTGCTAGGAGTGCAGCTGTGTACGAACACGCCTGGTTCTGAACTGTTTAATATTTAGTGTGCACCAGCACTTCCCTTCACAGGCTAAATGCATCTAAGGGGGAAGATCTTGATTGTTGTCTCTAAGTAGAGGCAAAGATTTGCCCTAAAAAGTCTTAAGAGTCACAATTGTACTGTTCCTAAGTCCCAATTCTAAGACAGGCTTCTCTGACCTATGTCTGAGCTTGTCTGAAATCAGCAAAGTTCAAAAACTCTATAAATGTGTAGTGTGTTCTATGTGTCATTTAAAGAGTTAACAAGCCACATGTTGGGGTCCACACTCAACATCTCAGGGAGGGTAGAGACAGGAGGATCACTGTTAATTTGAGGCTAGCCTAGGCTACAGAGTGAGACCCTGTCTCAAAGACAAATTTAGATGGAAAATCAATAACGGACAGAATCTTCTAATTAAGGTAACGACATGATCACTGATTGAAAATAAACCACATCTTCACTGAAGTGAGGAAACAAAAGGATACAGTTAATTAAATCGGGTGCAACTCTCATTCCTCATCCACCCCGACCCATGGATGTCAAACAGGGTCCCTACCTGAGAATGGACAGGGAAGCAAGCCTAGCTAACAAAATCCACTTAGATGTTTGGAAGGATGAGTACCCAGTACCTTAGACATTTGAGTCCTTTGGTTACTGGTAGAGCACTGTACTTTGTCTCCTCTTTCAGCCCCTTGGCCGTTTAGGGTGGGTTAGTCAGCACACTTATTCAGCCATTAGTCGGTGTCTTACCGTTGGTCTGGAAAGGCACACTGATGAAAACCCCTCGGAAATCTGCGTTGAGGGCTCTCCTGAGGACGTTCAGGGTGATGTATGAGAGGCTCGTGAACATGTAACTGTTAACTGCCAACACCACGGAGTAGGAGCCCACAACTCCACAAGCCAGGATGCTCAGCTGTGGAAGAGCAGAGGAGACGGGTGTCACCCGTGGAGCGAGAGCAGCCGCTCTCATGGAGGCCTCATTGCTGTCTTAGCATTAACAAGGGCTAATGAGAAGATACGGTAAAAACAATCTTCCTTGCCCACAATGGGTCTTCCTTTTATTCTTTGGGAGTTTCATACACTGTATTTTTATCATATTGTTTCCTGTCCTCCCTACTGCCATAGTAAGTTCTTACCATACTGTTTGGACTACCAAAATAGGGTTGGCTCAGTGGTTAAGACTATTTGCTGCCCTTGCAGGGGACCCAATACTTGAAGTTCACATTCATCCATAACTATAGTTCAAAGGGATGGGACACCTTCTTCTGGCCTCTGTGGGTACCAGGCATGCGCCAGGTACATGTATTTACATGCAGGCAAAACAGTCAAACTACTGTGCAACAATATGGCCATTCCCTAAGATCCTCTGTGGTGACTGTGACCCTCCAGGTCTGTGTAGTTCACTCCGACACCTGAACCATGGCCAACTGCCTAAGGGTGTCCTTGGAAAGCAGCCCTGTCGCTGATACACAACTACACTGTAGAAAAGCATCTTCCCTGAAGAAGAACTTGCACAGTAAAATCTAATCTAAGGAGCCATTCTGCAGAGGCAGCTAAAACTAAATGCCTTTGAGTTGCTGCAGTAGAGGAAGGTGGTTTGCTCTGCCCTCACAGCTGGGAGGTCCTGGCACTCTGAGGGACTGGGGGGTGTTCAGATCCCTGACAGGCAGGGCAGAGCAATCAGGAAAGGGGCCACAGACAGATAATAAAGATGGCATACTTCCTGATTCTTCATCCCCTCGACAGGAGACAAAGGCCGCAGGCTTTTTCTCCCTCCACAGGACCCCTTTCTGGCTGACCAGTCAGGATGATCATATATGTTAAAGGCTGGTCCAGAACATGCTTACCTGAAGCTACAGACCTAACAGCTCCCCTTTCTTTAAGTTGATCAGTCCAAAATCAAGGGGAAGGGAGCTTATCCCAGGCCACCAGAAACAGTTCAAAGTCCCAGCCCTCCAGAGCTGAGATGGGTTCAGTTCCCAACCACATTCCTGTGGTGTCTGTGCTGTGTGTGTGTGTGTGTCTGTGTGTCTGTGTGTCTGTGTGTCTGTGCTGTGTGTGTGTGTGGGGGGGTGTATGCGCACACGCGCATGCATGGACTTTCACTTTCAGTACAACTTGCTAGCTTTCATCGATGGGGAAAGCAGACCTGCCCTGAGACCCCCCCTACAAGGACAAACACTTGATAATCTCAGAACTTCCTCAGCACAGAAAACCACAGAGCCCTCTCTAGTGAACAGAACACATAGCACTCAAAGCGGACCTCTGAAGGCCGGCAGGATGAGTCACCCGGCTGCACTGGTACACTTACTATTCTTAGGCAGCCCATGAAGATGACTGGAACAAGCAGAGCTATGCAGGAGAACGTCACCCAGAACACTCCATCATCATGAAACACATTTAGGTTTCCTGGGAAAGCAGAGAAATCAAGAATAAACAAGATGCTCACAAGTTATGTTTCACTGTTTGGTGTCTGGATGCAGACACTCACAAAGCTTAAAGTGACAGCTAGGGAATATGCTGGCAGCTAGACCCACACTCTGGTTTGCATTTAATGGTCAGTGTAATCCATTTCACCCTGTGTGTGTGTGTGTTTGAGACAGGGCTGCTCTGTATAGCCTTGGCTATTCTATAGATCAGGCTGGCCTTGGTCTTTATATCAGTAAGCCCTGTCTGCTAGGATTAAAAGTGTGTGCAACCATGCCCAGGTAACATAATCCCTTTTTCATTTGTTTCGTTTTAATTTTTTAAAGATTTACTTATTTATTTGCTGTCTTCACACACACCAGAAAAGGACATCAAATCCTACTGCAGATGGTTGTGAGCCACCATGTGGCTGCTGGGAACTGAACTCAGGACCTCTAGAACAGTCAGTGCTCTTAACCACTAAGCCATCTCTCTAGCCCGACATAATCCCTTTTAAGGGCATGTTCTAGAAGGAGAGAAGGGACTAGAGGGTGACCTGAGAAGCTACCACAGTCCTTGCTCTCCCGTTCACCAGCCCCCGTGGCTCTGGTCTGATTCCTATCTTACCGTGGCAAGACTGATTATACTGTGTGGTGACTCCCTGAAACCCCCCTAACTCTGTGCTTTCATAATCTTCTGTAATGAGGAGATCCCCACAGATGATATTCCAAGCTAAGCAATGAACTCAATAGGAACAGATTTGAACCACTAGCCCTATACAATTCCTCCCATGAAGAACTAAACTCCGGGACAGACCAGAGTGGGACACCTAAGCACTTCATATGCTTTCTGCTACTACACACCTGGGTGACCCAGAGCTGCATGAGGTCATGACACCCACACTCCCAGACACTTGGGTGTCTGAAGAGGTATAGACACCTGTACTCCCAGACACTTTTGACGTCTGAAGAGGTATGTTTCTGCCCTGAGGAGGCAGACTCAGGAGAATCTCTGAATTTGAGGCCAGGTTGGCCTACACAAAAGTTCCAAGCTAGCCAGAACCACATAATGAGACCCTGTCTCAAAAAAAAAAAAAAGAAAGAAAGAAAGAAAGAAAGAAAGAAAGAAAGAAAGAAAGAAAGAAAGAAAAATAAAGAAAAAGTCAGTAAATAGTTAAAAATTGAAAAGGGAAATGTGGGGTTGGGAAGCCTCAGAATATAGACTCTTGCCACAAGTCTAATGACTTGTTAACTTCAAACAATCTAACAAGGTGTTTTTACTTTTTATAGACTCATTTAATTTATGTGCATGAATGTTTTGGATACATGTACACACCAAGTGCAAACCTGGTACCCACTGAGGTCACAAGAGGGTGCCAGATCCCTGGAACTGGAGTTACAGTGTGAGCCACCACATAGGTGCTGGAAACCAAACCTGGGTCCTCTGCAAAAGTGCTATTAACTGCCGAGCCATCTCTTCGGCCCCAATCAGATTTTTGTAACTGATAGAAATAAATACTTTAACACAAGAACTTCAACATAGAACCCCGCAGAACCAACCTCTGTGAGTCCACAGGCTGCTTGAGAACCCCTGGGGTGGAAGATGGCAAAGGGTGGGACAGAGACAGGTCAAGGGAAGACGGGGAAACAGCATCACGTATCTAAGCTCAGCACCCATCAGAGCAGCACGTGGTTCATCTGGGAGACATACTGGGAGTCTCCTCATGACTCAAGTTAGCAGCGGAGGTTTAAAATGTTACAAAGTAACCAGGCACAGTGGCTCACACCTGCCACCCCAGTACTCAGGAAATTGAAACAAAAGGATTACTGTGGGTTGAAGCCAGCCTGGACTGCGAAGTTAGACCTTATCAAACAAAATTTAAAGTAAAATTTAAAACTAAAATAAAGTCTCTGTTCTCCCCTATGATCCTCAGGACCTACCTTAGCTGTAACAGAAGCCCACAGAGAGCTGTTCCTGGTGACATTCTAAGATCCCCAAGGAGGGTGCTCTCCGCTGTCCCTCCCCTTAGTGTCAAGCCATCTCTGCAAGTGCCTTGACTCTTCAGAAGGCAGGGATAAGCAACACACTCCAGGATCCCGATTCTTGACAGCTCCCAAGCCCAAGAAAAACCCCTCACAGCCTGAGAGTCAGCGTCTCCTACCCAGAGGAGTGAAGAAGGTCCCAGAAGAGACAAGGAAGCCCAGCACGAGTCCCACACACAGCATGCAGAGCGTGAGGATCCCGAATCGCCACCACAAGGCCACCAGGAGGAGTCCACCGAAGCTGCCAGCTACAGCTGTGAGGGCCAGGCGAACTGCAGGAGGGAGAGAACATGGAGATGACTCTTCAGGCTTCAACCTAAGCTTCGGCATGTCTTAAGGTAGTCACCCGAGGGCTGGGGACAGGACAACTCTGTCAGTAAGACAGGACCAAGAAAGCAAAGGTGACAATCTGTTAAATGTGTGGGGGCTGTGATGGGTGGGGCTGAGGGCGTGGCTGGTAGAGTGTCCCCCTAACGTGAGGCTCTGGGTTCCGTCTGCATTCATCAGGAAGGACCAGAGGTTCAAGGTCACCCTGTCCACAGATCGAGTTCCAGGCCAGCCTGAATTACATGAGCCCCTCCCTGCCTCAAGAGGGGAATGTTTGAAGCTCCTTCCCTTCAAGGGGCACTGTGTGCTATTTTGAGGCATTGTCTTATTCTGTAGCCCAGGCTGGCCTAAACTCAAGAAGACTCTCCTGCCTCAGCCTCACCCATACTGGAGTAACAGGTATTCAGCCAGGGTTGTCTGTCTCTATATCTAACTTCAGAGTCACTCTGGGCTCCTGCTTCTGTGGTTTTTTTTTTTTTTTTTTTTTTGAGACAAGGTTTTACAACATAGCACAGGCTGCTCTCAAACGTAATCCTTCTGCCTCAGTTTCCTGAGTACTGGTTTTACAGGCATGTGCCCTGGCCTACCTCTGTTGTACCTAGAGAAAGCCGAGATGAGGAGGTGAAGCAGGTTGCCCACCTCGCACTTGACGAACGATGACACCCAGCACAGGCTAAACAGAGGAAGGCACAGTGGGTGGGAACCCAGCAGCTTCCTGTCTGCACCCCCAGCTAAGCTGTCGTCTATACTCACCGTCGTACTGGAGGGCTGTCAGTCTGGTAATCAGGATGTAGAAGAAGAACCCCAGGAAGATGAAGCCAGTGAAGAATAATTCTAGGAGGGAACAAACCGTCAGAAAATGGGGAACAGATGAAAAACCTCTGTCAGAGATCCGGACCTACGCACTGCAGGCATCGAATTTACAAGTCTGTGCCGGTGCACCAGGGCCTCATGTACCACGTCTAGTCACAGAAGGAACGGCTATCTAAAAGGCAGGGAGGTTTAGAAGTCGGGGTGAAGTCACTTATTATGAAATGGATAATGAATGTACCAGGCTGCAGCATTAGATACTGGCTGCGTTTGCCTGTATTGAGCCTGTTACATAATTAAACGGTTACTTGCTAATCTCATAGTTCATTGACTACATGTCTCTCTTCTTCCTCTTCCTCTTCCTCTTCCTCTTCCTCCTCCTCCTCCTCCTCTTCTCCTTCCTTCTCCTCCTCCTTTTCTTTGAGAAAGGGGCTCCTTTATGTAGCCCAGGCTAGCCTCAGACTCTCAAACTCATGATCCTTCTGCCTTAGCTTTCCAGAGTCTGGAATTACAGGCATGAGCCACCACAGTATGCCACGGTTTTTCAATGGCGGCGGTAGGGGGGTGGGTTGTGAGGCCAGAAACAATCCCAGCCATCACCTTTCACACCGTTGAGGCAGATCTCGTCCTGCTGCTCCTCTGCCCGCCCATTTGCTGACTCCAGAGGCTCTGGGGCTCTCCTTTCTCCACACCCCACCTTGCCTCCCTGACACACACTACCGCATCCCTCACACACAGCCATCTCCCCAGCCCTCCGTCTTCCCTTTTGCACAGACCTGCCAAGCACTCTGGCCTTAGCTATATCCTCAGGGCTGGGTTTTCTACTTAAAACACAAAAGCAAATGAAAGATAAAGTACAATGTGACTTTCATATGTTCTCTTCACCCACTGACATCCATGTAGCCTGGGCATACAGATAACTCAGTTTCCCACAAGTAAATCTAATCTTCTCTTTTTGGGGGGGTTGGGTTGGGGTGGGGTTCAAGACAGGTTTTCTCTGTGTAGCACTAGCTGTCCTGTAACTCACTCTGTAGAGCAAACTGGCCTCAAACTCAGAGATCCACCTGCCTCTGCCTCCTGAGGGCTAGGATTGAACATGTGTACCTCCACTGCTCTAGATTAAATGAGATACATCTAATCGTGAGGAGGAGGAGGATGCAGCTCCGTGGGTTCTGTCAAGTTCTCCTCAGCTGTTACTGAACACTATATCTCAACACAGGGACATTTCCCAGGATGGCAATTATATTCTCAGTCTGTGATCACTGCACCCTGAGCAAGGAAAAAGATCACGTCAAAATGAAAGGAAGAAGACTGTGATTTCAACTCTGTCAGAGCAGGCTCTCGGGCAGCAGTGCTTGGGGATCACAGTTGCCGGCCCCAGAGCACAGACTCACAACCTCTGATTCAATGTGTGTGTTCTGTCGATGAAAACATTACATAAAAGACAGTGCGGGCGTCACTCAAGTCCCACTTGCTGCCCTGTGGCAATCCATCCTGCAGCTGGAGCAGTCAGCACTGAACAGATCCGGGGTCACTGTTCACCACGGCCCCAGTCTGATTCCTACAAAATCAAACCTACTGCTATCTCCAAATCCAGGTGGTTTTCCAGTGTCCTTCGCCTCTCATCCCAGCAATCCAGTGTGCAAGCCGTCAGAGCTGTCTGAGATCTGCCAGACAACCCAACTTATATCCTCTCTAAAGAGGAAGCTGCACTCTACTGTTGAAATTGGGGAAATTAAAAATGCACAGCAGCTACACAGACTCGCCCACAGAAATCTGTGAACGGCGGAGACATGCTCACAGGCCCCGGCAGCAGGGGAGACGTCACAGGATACAGAACGGGGGCTGTGTAGGGAAAGGTACCTGTCTTCCAGAATCTGTGTCCAAAGAAACATACGAAGAGCCCGAGCAGGGCAAACACAGTGGAGAACACTTTCGTAGAGACTCTTCCTTAAAAAAATAAAATAAATAAAACTTTAGCGGACAAGTACATCTGAATTAATTAATAAGCAAGGCGGGGAGGTTGGGAGGTGTCCTGGCTTGAGAATCACTCACTCCACACACGGTCACTGATCCTAAAAATATCCCTGTTCGCTAATGAGAGAATCTACGCAGGTGGCTACCACCAGCGGCTGCTTTTTATAACAAGGAGAACCAGACAACACATGCTCCTGACAAAGGCACCCCACACCACTTATGGTGTTCCTTTGAGAACGGTATAACAGAGCGTGTGCCTAAAACAAGTCTGTTTCTTCAACAAATAAAATGCAAAGAGAAAAAGTGGGTTAGGATTAGGGTTAGGGTTAGGGTTAGGGTTAGGGTTAGGGTTAGGGGTTAGGGTTAGGGGTTATGGTTAGTTCCTGGTTAAAGGGGTTAAAGGAAACTTGTGACCTAATCTACAACCTGACTCAGCCCACAGTGTTGATACATGCCTGTAAGCCCAGCCCAGGGAGACCGAGGCAGGTGGAGCACTTCATATACAAGGCCAACCGTGCTACACGGTCAGTTCCAAGTCAGCCTCAGATAAAGAGTAAGCCCTGTCTCAAAAAAACCTGAACAGTAGGGCTCAGTGGGTAGGAGCGCCATTACTTTTATAGAGAATGAAGATCCATTTCCCAGCATACATCCATCTGTAACTCTGGCACTACAGGATACACCGCCCTCCTCTGGTCTCTACTGGTACTGCACTCACAGACTACACAGGGCATACACAGACAAAGCATCCATATGCACAAAATAAAAGTAAATACATCCGTCACTGTTTAAAAAGAGTTTATCAAGAGGAAATCCTGCTCACCAAATTCACCTTCCTTGAAAACCTTCAAAATGAGCATAAGAAAATTATCCTTGAGTTACAACAGATCTTATACACTCTGAAAACTTACAAGATGGATCAGATGCACCAGAGGCTTACAAGAAAGCACAGGACAGGCACTTAACCAACAAATGAAAAGCGCAGACCACGGACTGTGAACCACAGTTGGTCCACGGATCTACTCTTCTGATCTCGCACAACGATGGAGCCAACAATAAAAAATGCATATTCTGCTTTGGCTCGTGGGTGACTGTCACCCAAAACAGAGTTGGTGGACTGCTCCACCTTGCTTTCCTTCAAATAAAAAACCTGGGGTCTGGAAAGATAGCTTAGGTGTTAAAATGTCTTCCAAGCCCGATATCCACATCCACGTGAAAAATTGCACGTGGCACTGAATGTCTCCCCGTGCTGGAGAGGTGTGGACGGGAGGATCCCTGGGGCTTGCTGGCCAGCCGGTCCAGCCAAACTAGAGAGCTCCAGGTACAGTGAGAGACTGCCTCAAAAGATGATGCGATACACAAAGACGTCCAACATCAACCTCTGGCCTCCGCATGCACACACATGTACACACACATGAACGATGTCTTAGATACTTTTCTATTCCCGTGAGAAGTCATCACGGCCAAGCAACTTATAAAATAAAAGCATTTAATTGGGGGCTTCCTTACAGTTTCAGAGGTGATTTCATGACCCTTATATCATGGTAGGAAGCAGGACAGGCAGGCATGACTCTTGAGTATGGGTGGCTGTGTTTGAGTCGGGTAAGAGTCTCTGTATGGGGCTGGTGGGATGGCTCAGAGGTTAAGAGCACTGACTGCTCTTCTGAAGGTCATGAGTTCAAATCCCAGCAACCACATGGTGGCTCAAAACCATCTGTAATGAAATCTGATTCCTTCTTATGGAGTGTCTGAAGACAGCTACAGTGTACTTACATATAATAAACAAATAAAAACCTTTGGGTTGGAGCAAGTGGAGCTGGGCTGGAGAGAGCAGGGCCAGAGCAAGAGGGAGAAAGGAAGGGGGAAAAAAAAGTCTTTGTGTGACAACACACTACTCAGGTTCTGGAACCTTCTCCTGGACCCTGTGTCACCTCCTTACAAAGTTTAGCTTCAACAAAATCTGACGAATCTGATAAACTAGAATTGCCTCCCCTTCCCCTCCCCCCTTCCACCTTCCCTTTCCCCTTCTTCCCCATCCCCATTATCTGATGGCACCAACTATCTGATAGGGTCCCTCATCCTCTGCCTACCCTCAAGGTGACATCTCATCACTCTGAGCTCTCTTCAGCAAGAATCCTGACACTGTACTTTTTACAAACCCCTCACCCCAAACACTGACTTTGAGTGACTTGTTGGAGATCAGTCTAATGCTCTGAGTCAATCAGGAATCAGCCTGTCCAGATAATGAAGGTCCTTGTCCCCATTGGTTTTTGATGGATCAATCAAGATGCCAATGGCCAATGACTGGGCATGGGGCGGAACACTCAGAGTTGCTCAGGCTAAGACACAGAGAGGAATGGGGCAGAACTGCCAAGACTCACGTTAGAAGGAGGAGGAGCAGGAGCAGCAGGAAAAAAAGAGCGAACCAGCCATGTGAGATTTCAGGTGAGTGGCCACTGGCCACGTCCCTGATTGGGCCTGGGGAAGCAGGGGAAGGTTTAGGGATGCCCAGCCTTTGAGGTCGCCAAGGCATTTTAAAAATAAGCTACTGCGTGTGTGTCTTTCATTTGAGTCTCCATGGGTGGGTGCACCTTTGCGATCTGCCGGGAGCACAAAGCAGGGTAAACAAAACCTCACGACTACATATACTGTCTTTAGATCTGAGCCCCCTATCTTCCCCACTGCAAACTCTCGCTATGGCGGCATCCTGACGTCCAAAGTGTAAGATCCCTGTCTTGCATAGTATTCTTCATGACTTTACCGTGAGTCACAGGAGACAGTATGTACCTCTCAGTGGTAGAGCTGTCATGCTTACCCAGAATGCACAGCGCCTACTTTAACCCTCGGCACTACAAAATAAATTACCGAGGAAGTACTGAGACATGGTCTCATGTAGCCCAGGCTGGTCTCAAACTTTCTATGTAGCTGCTGGCTCCACCACAACCAACGGATGCTTCTTTAGAAGGTAGCGCATTTTAAGAGCTCCTGAACGTTCTCTGCACCCTGCCCTGTGTGGCCTCGCTGGCACCTGTGAGCTCCGTGCTGCGAAGCCAGCGGTCAGTTTTCAACATAGCTTTTTTTTTTTTTTTTTTTAGTTCTTTCGAGACAGGGTTTCTCTGTGTAGCCCTGGCTGTCCTGGAACTCACTCTGTAGACCAGGCTGGCCTCGAACTCAGAAATCCTCCTGTCTCTGCCTCCCAAGTGCTGGGATTAAAGGCGTGCGCCACCACCGCCTGGCTCAACATAGCTTAATCCTCACCTTCAACCCAGCTGACACTTTCTCTATGAGATGCTTTTTACACTGTCTTCATGAAACATGTCTCTCTCCCACCCCACCCCCCCACTCCCCCACTCCCACCATCGATCCTGCTCTCTCTGCCACTGTAGCAGGATCTTTCAGGGCTTGTTCTCAGGACTAATTTCCCCTTTTCCATGTTCTCACTCCAATTGGGAAGCCATCTTGGTTGTGACTGTACACCTTAATCAACATTCTCCAATCCTAGGCTTCCTCCCGCCCCCATTAGCTGACACATCCAACCAGCGATGGACTGAACATCTCATCTCAATGAGAACGCTCCATGGGGCTCTCAAACTGCCATGGCTCTTTCCACTAGCGCACAGCAGCTCTCCTACAATGGCTCAAGCTAACAACTAAGCCACATGTCTTAGTTCCTTTTCCTATTGCTGGGACAAAAGCAACTCAACCCTGAAAAATGCAACTTAAGAGAAAAAGCGTTTATCATCCTTGACTCACAGTTCAAGGGTGAGGTCCATTGTTGTGGGGAAATCCCAGTAGCAGGGAGAACTGGTCACACTGCATCTACAGTGAAGAAGCACAGAGTCCAGGTTCCCTGTCCAGGGAATGGTCCCGCCCATGTATGTGTGTGCGTAACTTACCCTCGGGTGACTGAGAAACACAGAGGAGTGTGCCTATACCCAGCAAAGAAGGAGAAAAGTAAACAGCACTATACAGCAACTAACACTGAGGGAGTAAGGGAGGAGTATGCACAACTTCTTCATATTATTTTGCATCTTTTATGTAAAACTATTTCAAAATAAGTATGAAGCAAGGTGTATGTGTGAGTATGTGAACATGCATGCACATGCGTGGGTGCACACACGCACGCACACACACAGGTCTCACGACCTCTCCACTGACGTCCTTCTAAATCACAACATCCCTCATCTGTATCACTTCAGGAAGTCTCTTGACTCGCGTGACTGTTTCTTCTATCATCTGTCTTTTCTCCACAGGCACTCAGTGATTCCATCAGAGTCTTAAGTTGGATCAGGGCACCCTTTGGTCAAAACTTTCCAGTGCTCTCTACGTCCTCCAGAAGAAAACCTAAAGCCCACACTGACCTACGAGGCTGTCCTAGAGCCACCATGCTACAACCCTGGCCTCACGTCTCCTATTCCCACTGCCCTGCCTCAGACCTCCAGGTAGGTGTCCAGACACAGGACTTGCTGTGGCTGTCCCTCTGCCTGGCACATACCCAGATGTGTACATGGCTCCTGCCTGCAACCAACATGGCTCCTGCCTTCATCAACCCTCTCAGAATCTTCTCTCATCCACATTCGACTGCTCCCCTTCCTGCTCTGTCTTTCTCCCTGGTACCACTAGTTTCTCAAATGTTATGTGTTATAATACACCACCCTATCCTGGCTCCCCCATGACACATATATGTATATCATATGTGGTGGGGGAACGAGCACCACCAGGCACGTACTGAGTGCTCGGTGCTCTGAGTTTTGTGCACTCATACATTCTATTGCCTCGCATGGGGGATAGTGATACAGCATCTTTTTTTTTAGGTTTATTTTATTTTATGTGTATCTGTGTTTTGCTTGCATGTATGTCTGTGCATGCCTGGTGTGGTAGTTTGAATATGCTTGGCCCAGAGAGTGGCAATATCAGGAGGTGTGGCCTTGATGGAGTAGGTGTGGCCTTGTTGAAGGAGGTGTGTCACTGTGGGTGTGGGCTTTAAGACTCTCATTCTAGCTGCCTGGGAGCTACTCTTCCACTAGCAGCCTTCAGATGAAGATGTAGAACTCTCAGCTCTGCCTGCACCATGCCTGCCTGGATGCTGCCATGCTCCTGCCTTGATGATAATGGACCGAACCTCTGCACCTGTAAGCCAGCCCCAATTAAATGTTGTCCTTATAAGAGTTGCTTCGGTCACAGTGCCTGTTCACAGCAGTAAAACCCTAACTAAGACACCTGGTATCCTTGGAGGTCAGCAGAGGGCATCAGATACCAGGAACCGGAGTTATGCATGGTTGTGAGCTGCCAGGTGGGTGGTGGAACTGAACCTTGGTCCTTTGCAACAAGTGCTCGTAACTAGTGAGCCATCCCTTCAGCCCTAATGTGGGGTCTTACAAAAGGCAACTAGTGACTGAGTGAATGAAAGCTAGTCAAAGCACTTTGAACAACCCTAAGCTCTCCACTAGTGAAAATTGATCTGCAAAGCCAAGGATGTATCTGTCCAGGTTTAAGGCCACGTACTCACCAGCAGAAACACAGTTACCATCCCCTGACTCAAAGCTGCAGGCATATGTGTGCACAGGCACGTAAGCTGCAGATGTATTGAGGGACGGATCCCAAACGATGACGTTATAGATGACTCCTTGTCCCGGGAGGGAAGAGAAGGACACGGCTGTTTTATCGTCGGCTGTTAGGGTAACCACCTAAAGCCAAACATAACAAGTGGTGTTTACATGGCTTTTAAATCTGTGGTCACCTGCACAAGACCTGCACAAAACCAAGCCAGTCAGCAGTCCAGTATGGAGCTACGGACACCTGATGCCTTCTGGGATAGGGAGAGTCAGTTTCCCTTTTTAAAAGAGTGTGTGTATGTGTGTGTGTGTGTGTGTGTGTGTGTGTGTGTGTGTGTGAATGTGCACTTGTGAGTGTCGGTACCCATGGAGTCCAGAAGAGGGAGTCACATTCCCTGGAGCTGGAGTTATAGGCAGTTGTGAGCCACCTGAAGTGGGTGCTGGGAACTGAATCCAAGTCCTCTGTGAGAGCAGCAAGCTCTCTCAACACCTGAGCCCATTTTTCCAGCCCTGAGAGTTGGTTTGCTTTAAGAAAGTGGCCCCTAGCAAACAAACAAACAAACAAACAAGCAAACAAAAACTGGCAGGACGGTGGTGGCGCACACCTTTAATCCCAGCACTTGGGAGGCAGAGGCAGGTGGATTTCTGAGTTCGAGACTAGCCTAGTGTACAGAGTGAGTTCCAGGACAGCCAGGGCTACACAGAGAAACCCTGTCTCGAAAAACCAAACCAAACCAAAAAAAAAAAAAAAAAATTGGCAGGAAACTGGGAGGGAGTCTGGAAGGGTGTTGTGGGAGGAGTTAGAGGGAGCAGCTTGGCGGGATGAGTGTGGGAGGAGTTAGAGGGAGGAGCTTGGAGGGGTGAGTGTGGGAGGAGTTAGAGGGAGGAGCTTGGAGGGGTGAGTGTGGGAGGAGTTAGAGGGAGGAGTTTGGAGGGGTGAGTGTGGGAGGAGTTAGAGGGAGGAGCTTGGAGGGGTGAGTGTGGGAGGAGTTAGAGGGAGGAGTTTGGAGGGGTGGGTGTGGGAGGAGTTAGAGCAAGGAGTTGGGAGTGAAGATGATCAGAATACATTGCATTCATGTAAGAAAGACGCAATAAAACACGTGACAAATACTAATACCAGTGTGTATATTCTTCAGCAGCTTCTCAGTTTTTAAACCTTTCCACTTATGCTTACCAGAAGTTCTTATCTAAGTTGCAGAAGTGTAACAAAAAATTATCATCTACTTCTTTTCCTGCCTCAGGATGAGGTCATAGATAGGGCGGCAATTAAAAACAAAATCGACCTGCCTCTCCCCAAAGGTTAAATCATCTCAGAGCACCCAAACCAGCCACATGAGCTGCAAGAACCAGACTCACCTTGACAGCACTGGCCTTCACCTGGGCCACCTGGGCCATCCTCTGAAGATGCTGGAGCAGAGAGGCCTCGGTGAGGTCCCCCTCGGGCAGAAAGTACTGATACACGTCATAGCGCAGCCTCCACCTGGACTCCTGGCCCGTGCTCACATCACACGGCGGGGGCTGCGCAGCTCTACAGACAATCAAAGCTAAGCATCAGAATCAGTTTCCGGTGGCTCAAGCCCTCTCCATGAAAAGGAGGCAGAGCTCTGTTTTCAAACTTCTGCAGGCACAATCCCAACTATAGAGCTGTGGGGTCTGAGTGTCACTGTGGAGAAAGTGGCTCACAGCGGTGGGCTGGATTTCATATCTGGAAATCCCTGCCTACGGTGTGACAGGATTGTAAATTGACTGAGAGCTAATCGGGTCTTGAGGGGGAACCCTCCTGAGTGGGATCGGTGCCCTCACAGAAGCGGCCTCAGAGAGCTCTCAGGCAAACTTCTCTTCTCATAAGGACACAATAAGAAGTCTACAGCCTGCAGGAGGCCCCTGCCGGAACCCTAAGGTGCTGCCTCTGAAAGCAACAGGAGGAAACTTCTGGGTGTGGTGCATGGCTGTGATCCTAGAACTTGAGAGCCAGAAGGAGAATGAAGTTCAAGGCTAGCCTGGTCTACACAGAAACTTCCAAGCCAACCAGGAACACATATATGTAAGTAAATAAATACCTTTTTTTTTTTTTTTTTTTTTTTTGGTTTTTCGAGACAGGGTTTCTCTGTATAGCCCTGGCTGTCCTGGAACTCACTCTGTAGACCAGGCTGGCCTCGAACTCAGAAATCTGCCTGCCTCTGCCTCCCAAGTGCTGGGATTAAAGGCGTGCGCCACCAACGCCCGGCTGTAAATAAATACCTATAAATAAGTAAATTCTTGTTACTCATAATCCACTCAAGTAGTTTTTGGTACAGGTTAACCATTCTTAATCTAAAAGTCTGAAACCTGAGGGGCTAGAGAGATGGTTCAGTAGTTCAGAGCACTGACTACTTTTCCAGAGGACCCGGGTTAAAAATCCCAGCACCCAGACGGCAGCTCACAACTGTCTGTAACTCAAGATCTGACACCATCTCACAGATATACATGCAGGCGAAATACCATCACGTAAAATTAAAATAAGTTTTAAAAATCTGAGACTTGAAACTTTTCAGGCTCTCCTATGATATTTGAAGTTTAGGATTTGTTAGATTTGGGGTTCTCGGATTTAGAGATATTCAACCATGAAGGTCTACACAAATCTCAAACACTTTTGGCCCCAGATGTTTCAGATAAGGGATGTTTAGCTTATTCTTTATAACGGCAGCACTGGCTGATTGTCATAACACACACACAGAGGCCAATGTGGTTAAAAGAAAAAACTGATTCTGACGTGAGTCAGGCCCACAGCAATGACACCTTTCCTATTTGACCTTGTGTCTTGTGGTTAAAAAGATTTGATTCTATTTGTGTGTGTGTGTGTGTGTGTACCCATGGAATCCAGAAGGCGGTGTTTAACCTCAAAGGTCTCAGGAAACCTTTCTGTAAAAAAAAAATGCAACTGCTTCTTCCTAAAAGTATGAAGATTAAATGACAGAGAGCATCGCCGCCCGGCTAGCTCAGTCGGTAGAGCATGAGACTCTTAAATGACAGACAACATGCAGCATTGAGTGCTGAGGTGGGTGGGCGGGCAGAGAGTTTCCAATCGATCATTGCTATTCAAGTAGAAACTGAGGCAGTTCTGCAAAATTAAATCCTCATGAGGTGTAAGAAATTAGGGCTATGAATGCCTTCTATGTTTGAATGCTTCAAGAAAACTAAAGCAAGGCTGAAGAGATGGCTCAGTGGTTAACTACAGATACATCTCTTACAGAGGACCGAGTTCATTTCCAGCACCCACAGCAGGCAGCTCACAACCACCTGTAACCTCAGCTCTGGGGGCATCTGGCACCTCTAGCCTTTACAGGTACCTGTATTCATGTGCACACACTCACACAGACATAGACACACTTAAAAATAATAAAAATAAATCTTTAAAAACAGAACTGAGATGCAGGTCTAAGCTCACAACAGGATTGCATCACACCTATCTCTTCAAATGAAGAATTCATAAGGACTAAGGAGATTATTCACTATAAAGAATAGCTCAAATATTAGCACTGAGATTTAAATTATGCCAATTTGATCCGGGGTACTTCTGTCGGCTCTACTTTAATACAGAGTTATTTGTTGGTTATAAATCAAGACAAAAATTATATATATATATACATATATATATGCATATACATATATATATATGATTTTTTACTCTAATATCCCTTAATTAAATTGCCAAAAATTAAAGTGCAATATTGTATTTTTAAGAACAAATTTTAGATTTTTGATGTTTCTTGGGTCACAAGAAATATAGATCTAAGCCGGGCGGTGGTGGTGCATGCCTTTAATCCCAGCACTTGGGAGGCAGAGGCAGGCGGATTTCTGAGTTTGAGGCCAGCCTGGTCTACAGAGTGAGTTCCAGGACAACCAGGACCATACAGAGAAACCCTGTCTCGAAAAAACCAAAAAAAAAGAAAAAAAAGAAAAAAAAAAAGAAATACAGATCTATGTAGTATAATAAAATTAGCAAAAAAATAATGATCAACACCTAATTTATGCTGTTATTTTAAATTAAAATTAGTATTGGTTATAGTAGTAACTACTAAAATGAGTTATTTTTTTTGTGTGTGAGAAAAAGCTATACAACTTTGTCCAAATATCTGGGTAGAATGAATTACCAAGTTATTGTATACTGACATATATATGCATCAGGGAACAAAATTCTAATTTTCAACTTTAACTTTTCTCCCATACTATAAGTCTTTTATTAAATATATGCCTTTTGGACAACAACAACAAAAAAAAGAAGCAATTCAACATTGCAGTAGAAGTGACGGCCCTGAGGCAGTCTGCTGGTCCCCATCTACAGTCACTGAGTCCTAAGAGCAGCTTTGGCAGGGCGGGATTGTCAGCCTACCTTGCATAGCCTATGTTTGCTGGTGCAAACTTGATAGTTGTCTCAAAAAAATTATAGTCCAAATAAATGTTGGGATCGATATCTAAATCAAACTCCAAATTGCAGCCTCCAGGAATGGGATCTGCATGAAGAGCAGTGAGATCAGTAACCCAAGAGTCCTTTTCATATTCCTGAAAACAGTCCCACACAGCCGTGTCAGCACAGAACACCAGCACTTCCGCTGTACGGTGACTGAGGTTAGGAAGGGTACAGTTCCCTCACGCCTTTTCCCCTCAAACCATCTCTATCAACCCCACCACCCCACCCTCACCCCCGTGCTGTGTGCGCTTCACCACTGAGCTGTTCCCCAGCCCTCCGCCCAAGCTCCCGCCGCCTGACTTCCCTCTCTTCGCACCTTGCACCTCCGCTTAGCCATCGATGTGATCTGACTCTCCCAGTGCTGTCTGGACCGGGTGCTAAAGGACACCCCTGACTTGCCACTGCTCTTTCATTCAGACCCCGCTGGTCATGTCTCTGGACTTTTCTGGAATCCACTACTCCTCAGCCCCGCACCTGCTCCTCAGCAGTCACCGTCACGCAGGTGCAGTGCTGGACAAGTGCTCCTCCACTCTCACGCGTGGCCTTGGCTTTGACACCGGCTGTCTATCTAACCTCGGTCCTTTAAGCCAGCACTCTATGACGTGCTTCCAATGAGCCGTCCTATGAGCACCCCAGACTCACCGTGCCCTCACCTCACAGGAGTCCCTACTGACTCCACTCTACCCCATGAAAGGGCCAGCACCCAACAGCCCAGCATCTAAACCTGCTGTGTAGCACGATCTCTAATCTGTCCGAACAGGAGGCCGAGGCTCCTCTCTGGCACCTTGTAGCCGCTGTGCCTTATCCGTTGCCCTCCCCAGGCCTGGCTCAGGACCTGCTTTCAGACCCTACTAATCACTTTCCTCATTGCCATCAGGCTCAGTCCTGACTCTGCTCTTTCTTCTTCATGTAGCTCAGGCTAACCTTCAACTTGCCACGGAGCTGGCCACGACCTGTTAGTCCTCTTGCCTCCACCTTCCCATGCTGGATTATAGATAGGCATGTGCCACAGTGAGCAATTTTACACAATGCTGGAGATAGAACCCAGGGCATGATCCATGCTGGGCAAACACTGACCAACCAAGCTACATCACCAGCTCCTCTGCGGTCGGCTTTCTGAAGATGAAAAGGACTACACTGTTCCCCTCACTAACTCTATGTGTCCTTTGAACCCACCTTAGCAATGCGTGCAAACTGTGATCAAGGCTCACCCACTGCCCACCACCCTCCAAACCCTGCACCATCTTTAGGATAAGCCTACCGCCTCCTCTGCCCACAATAACAAGGAATGAACTCTCCAAGTCACAGCAGGAGCCTCCAGTCCCACTAGCTCTCTGCCCCTTTCACAGTGAAACACTTTGATTAAATAAACGACACTTGTAATAACAATTTTACCAGGATAATTTTCCTTAGGATTCCACAAACACACGAAGCTCATATCCACAGATGAACCTGGATAGGGGATTACCTGTTTCTGAGTAGGAGAGCGTCACGGCCACACTTTGAACAGGCTTGGTATCTTCTGTCTCCAAGTACCAAGAACACATAGTCTGCTTGGGTCTAAGAATAAAAACCAGCCCTCTGTCGTTGCCTGTTCCTGAGGTGCTGGGAAGGAGAGTCTGCATTTGGGAAGCAAAGCCACCATGAAAACTGAATTGAGAAACCACATTCACTGCAGCGATGCCTACCCAGTGTGCACGGCTCCCCCCAATTCCTCTCAAAACAAAAAAGAAAAAAATTCCAAAGGACCTGGGTTCAATTCCCAACATCCACATGATGGCTTACAACAGCCTGTAATTCCAGTTCCAGGGGACCTGATACCCTTTTTTAGTCTACACAGGTACTGGGTACCTATGTGACACATACATACCGGCAAAACACCCGTACGAAAGAAGTAAGTAAATAAATAAAAGTCTAGCAATATTATTGCTTCAGTCAGTTTGAACTTCTGTGACAAAATGTAACCAGTTTTGTGGTTTAAGAGCACAGCAGAGTGAGGAAGGCACTGTGGGAGCCTTCTGACAGGGGTGCCATCTTACTGGAAAAGTTCTCTCATGCCCGCATCCCACGGTTACTGCTTTTGAGGGTATGCACGTGTATATGTTCGTGTATATGCACATTATCCACGTGCATATGACAAGTGTGTGAGCACACATGTGGTAGGTGGGTGTGGGCACATGTGTGTTGTATGAGCAGACATGTGGTGTGTGTGAATTCATGTGGTGAGTGTGTGAGCACACATGTGGCAAGTATGTGAGCACATGCGTGGTGTATGTGAATACACATGATGAGTGTGTGAGTACACATGTGGCAGGTATATGAGCACATGCGTGGTGTATGTGAATACACATGATGAGTGTGTGAGC